TGTAGAGGTGACAAATAGATTTAAGGAATTAGATCTGATAGACAGAGTGTCTGAAGAACTATGGACGGAGGTTCGCAACATTGTACAAGAGGTAGCAACTAAACCCACCCAAAGAAAAAGAAATGCAGGAAAGCAAAATGGCTGTCTGAGGAAGCATTACAAATAGCTGAGGAAAGAAGTGAAAGGCAAGGGAGAAAGATACACCCAACTGAATGCAGAATTCCAGAGAACAGCTAGAAGAGATAAGAATGCCTTCTTAAATGAACAGTGCAAAAAAATAGAAGAAAACAATAGAATAGGGAGGACCAGAGATCTCTTCAAGAATATTGCACAATCCCTGAAGTTAGGTCTCATGTATGCATAAACAGCCATTATATTTTGCTAACCTGTATGTATTTGTAGGCATTTTCTGTTAGACATGGAACATAGGCATGTTCTGCACTCTGATGGTAGTTTAAGACATAAAAGTTTTAGTCCCATGCAGATTTAGACAGAAAAGGGCCTACAACTTCCATTATACTGGCTGGGGCATGCTGGAAGCAAAAGACCCCCTATCTCTCTAAAATTACATAGAACTGTGCCAAATTCCTCTCCAAATTCATTTTAAGCTGTTGGTTCAACTAGTTTTGATCAGTCAGCATTTCTTCCATTCTTTTTCTGGCTTTTGCTATGTTGTGACCTGGAAGTGAAATGCATTTAATTTTATGAACTACAGACTCCACTGGTGGTAGCTATCCTGTAATTTTATTTATTTATTTGCTTTATTCCACTTCTATGCAGCCTCATAACCCAAAGGTGCTTTGGGTAGCTTACAATTGCTGAAAACATGTACTATGTTCCTTAGTTTTATGGAGTTTGAAGCCAAAGTGCTTCTGGCCCATGTGGTGTATAAAGTGGTACATACACTTGCTTCAGCTGTTCTGCCTATGAGTAGCTACATGCATTTGTACATTCCTTTCTGCATGTGCAGACAGCTCTAGGGATGATCTATGGAGGTAGTGTGTGTTGCTGTTTGTTCCGGGACTAGTTAAAACCTAAGTCCAGAAAACTCATTTCTATTATTTTGAAAGTATTAGATTCACTTCATAATTAAACATTGATTTTTTCCCCTAATATTGCAGGCAAGACTGTGCCATAATAAATGAAGGGTGCTGTTATTACTACTCTAACCATCCAATGCGGTATGGCATTGCTTCAGGAGTTCTAGATTTATAATGTCCATCTGTATCTTTTATCAATGTTTGTGCTATAATGCACAATAATATGTATGTTTCAACACGAAAAGGTCCTACAGTTCTAAATATGCCTCAGCCAGTTATCAGAAGGCAGAGTTCTACATTCAATAGAGGGAAATATGCCTGTTTTATGTTTATATTGAAACCACACGCTATAAGAATAGCTTCATGGCTATAAAACAAAGCTGGGGCATGGCTGCTTTCACTGTGGCATCTTTCCAGATTAGATATGATCCAGATGAAGTTGCTCCCCAAAATCACAGAAAATTCAGTTTGTCAGACTAAAATGTCTAAATCAAATTTATAATGAGATCACGCAAAGGCTTTGCTCAGATTTCAGCACTAAACCATGGTTTGATGTTATCTGAGAACATGGCTAGTGTCCCCTTTTCTGTATACATACCCCTTTTACTCTTCGTTAAATTTAAAAAAATATTTTATTCTTACTATGGAAAATCTGGAATTCAAATGGGTTCAAGTCACATTGTTACCATGCAATATATGCAAGATTGTCAACACCATGAAGGTGCAAAATATTTTCTTTGGGGCCAAAAAGGTAATGATTGGGGCCAAATCATTCAACCAGTGACCCTCTGAGTCAAAACTTGGTAGAAATACCTTTGGCAGCAGTTAAAGCCATGAGTTTTCTTGACTATGTCTCATAAGCTTTGCACATGGGCATCCCGCAGTGTTTGTCATTCTTCCTGGCACAACTCTGCCAGCTCTGTCAAGTTGGAATGGGAACTGTTGATGATCAGTAACTTTCAGGTCTTGTCACGAATTTGCAATCAGATCAAGCTCTGGGCTTTGACTGAACCAATCTAAGACATTCAGGTTCTTGTTTTTAAATCACCTCAGTGTTACTTTTGCTCCGTGATTGTCCTACTGCAAGATGAATCTCAGGTCCAGTGCAGATTCAACCAGGTTTTCTGCTAGAATTGCCCTCTATTTTGCTTCTTCCATCTTGCCCTCAGTTCTAACCAGTAGCCCAGTTCCTGCTGAGGAAAAGACCCCCACTACAGAAAGCTGCCTGCACCACACTTCACTGTGGGGAAGGTGTTCTCAGGGCAAGAACAGTTGGTTTTGCACCTCACACCTCACACCTGAACCATAACCATTGACCTCTTGATGGCATCTCTGATTAATGCTCTGCTTACCTGGTTGCTAAGCACTGGAAGATTATCTAGGCAAAATCACAAGGATTTTTTCCCCACTTTGTAATGAATTTCATGGTGCTGTGGGGGAGTGTTCCTAGCTGTAGCTATTTTATAACCCAACTTTGATTGGTGCTTCTGCACAACATTATCCAGGAATTACTTTTATGGCACTCTGCTCTTCATGAATTTGCTCAGATATTCAGCAAACTCTGGACCCTTTCAGGAACAGGTGTGTATAACAAGTGTATATAAGGTGAGATCATGTAGCACAGGTGGATGCCATCCAGCTACTTACAGTATGTGACTTCTGGAGGCTGTGGGTTGCCCTGATGCTTGTTTGAGCATGCCACAGTAAAGCAGGTGAATACGTATGCGACCAGCAAGTGCCAGCTTGTTTTTGTTTGCTTAACTTTCGTTCCCCACTGAAAATAATTTGCACATTCACAGTACCTAGTATCTTGTCATCAAGTCGTAACAATGTCAATTAAATCAATTTCAGTTCCAGATTGTAACACTAGAAAACTGAAAAGTTAAAGGGGACATGTATACTTCTGCAAGGCACTGTAGTTTAATGTCAGCAAATTTTAAAACATGTCTCCTGGTTTTGATGCTTTGCTGTTCGAAATTGAACATGTTTGTTCCAGGGAAATACTTTTGGAATCATTCAAGCAATTTCATATTTTTAAGCAGTTGGTACTGCTTTAACTGAGAGATTTTCTTGTATGTTCAGCTAATTAACCTTTGCTACAACTTGTTTCAGAAACCATAAAAACAAGCTACAGTTTACGTGTGGTGACAAAATCTGTTCCACGAGAAATGCATATGTCAGAGATCTTTCAGGAAAGAGTATGCATTGTCAAGAGGATGAGAAACACTTGAAAGGTTCTGGTCCAGGTCGGCAAAATGAGCGTTTGGAAAGAGAAGATCATCTCTCTGGTCATAAACAGTATTCCTTGGGTGATAATGGGTGATAATACACGGATCTGCAATGGAGAAATATACCTCATTACAGAGGCATGTGTTGTTCAGAATAATTGATTGGCTTCATCTTTTTTGAATGAAAACTCTTCGTCATCCAGATGAACGCGAAAGGCAAAGTACATTTCCAGATGCTTGTTCAAGTCCTTCAAAAGTAGCTTTGGTAAGAAAATCTTTTAAGTAGCACTATGGACAGTACTTTATGTGGCATGTTTTTTTCTCACTTAGCAGAATATATAATAATTTTGTCTCACTTCCCATCCAGACACTGAACAGAACCCAGTTTTCTTAGTTTCTAAAAGGAAGTTGTATCGTTTGCCTGTTGGGAGGTTTGGGCCTTTTTTCTACCTAAACATCTTAGGGTTGTATCTTAAAAGTTATCAGCTGATCCCTTGTTCGTAAAATAATAGATAAAATGAGCATTAGACTGTGATCCAGAAGCAAGCATAATGAGATAAATGGGAGTAATTGCACTTTCGCATCTTCTCTTTGAAAAAGTAGCTGTGACATAACTACATAGTACTACAAACAGGAGAATTCCCCAGCTAACCATGCTCCCAGCCAACTGGATTACTTGGCGTCTCAGCTCCAAGGCTCTCTGGCTGTGGAACTTGGACTCTCCTGGCATGCAATGAAGCTTCCTGGCTGCACCTGAGAGGTCAATCAACCCCAGAGAAGGCTAAAGGCCCATGGCTGGAGTGGAAAGCAGGGAGGTTGGGGCTGATAGCTTATGTTCTATCTAAACAGTGCCCCAGCCTCCTCCTCTTCCCCATTGCAGTGCTTCACCCACCCATCTGGGTGGAATACAGGGCGTGAGGTGGAGGCCGACAGAAATGGGCATGTGTCTCCCACCCTGCATGTAAACCTCTCTGTTCTTAGTCTTTTGTGTCTCAGTCGTGGATGACAAAGGTTGTGCCCTTATATAATCTTTTCTGCATCTTTTTAAGAACTATGACCTAGTGTAGCTCTATTGCAAGCTTTCAGCTTGCTAGAAATTGGAGGGAATATGGGAATTATACAAAAGCTGGGAATGATGGTTAGATGCTACAAAACGGCCACCTTTCCTTTACTCCTTCCCTCAAACATACATACCGCTGCTACAAAATATGTGGCAGTATGTAATGATACCAAAAATTTCCTGGTCCCATGTGAAGAAGCTGATGGACTGGAACTTTGAAGCATGATGACAGCATAGGATAAATGTCCCAAGGCAAGATGTTAGGATCTTGCTTTTGGCCTAATTTAAGTCTATTTGCTGGGTTGCAGTGAGGGCATATCAAAGTATTTTATGGTCACATAAATACATTTTTCACAGTATCGCAAGTTAATACACGATTACATGTGTGTATGGTTCTCTTTCACAGATAGCAGAAGATAACCAAAGTTCTCCCCTTGGAACAACTAGTCTTCAGAGGATGACACTGGAAAGTGAATTTCCAAAGAAACTTTTCCAATCATAACAAGTATATTATTTGGTTGGTTCTTTATGCACTGTTTTTCTTCTTTTACATTTAATTTCAAATATTTTAGTAGAAAAATATATTTTAGCTCTAGAGCTTGGCTTTTTCTAGTAATCATTGATTTTAAAGACTTGCTTTTTAACAGGGCATTTTAATTTGTATAAATTAATTTGTATATTTTTATACTTATTTGTATAAAAATAAGTATCTAGTAATTCAGTTTTGCCATACTCTGGTTTCATTTCTGCATCATTGCCTGGAAGTGCAATACTTCAGGAAATACTTTTTGATATTTGTCTTTACTTCTATAAGTAAAATGATAGATAATACCAGCTAACCCTGATCCAAAGACATTATTAATTTCATTTCTATACTGTCTAGAGCAAAGCTCTCTGGGTTGTTCACAAATGTTTTTTTATTTATTAAAAGCTTTTCTAGCCCATCCCCTAGAAATGTCTCCGGGACAGCTTACAAAAACGTTCATGCCACATTTAAGACACCCATCCAGATCCCACCCTGCTTATCTTCCAAGATTAGGCAGGATCAGGCACTACAGGCTATATGGAAGAAATGCATACAGAGACTTTACAAAATGGCTAATGTTATCTTGATCTGGTTGGGACAAATTTAATCTGGCCTTTTGCATTGTTGAACTCAAGCTTCTAAGTCTCTCCAAATTTTGCACACATTTGAATGAAAATATAAATTGCATTAAAGGTCATGGTAGATCATTTTATTGTATTTGAAGCTCTAATCTGTAAAAGTACATAGAGAACTTCCCTCAAGATTTTGTTGAGGTCAAAGACAAAGTATGTCTTGCACAACTCAGAAAGCTAATGTTAATTCTTGCATTTGCACTTTGCTGAAGTTTGGCCAATTTCCCACTTCCTCTAACCTTAGCAGCTTCCCATTCTTCCACAGGATTCTCTAGTGACAGGAAAAAAATGCTTCTGTTTGGAGTTCGTAGGATCCAAGCCACCGTCTTTAAATCACTGTTTATTTTAGTTTATTTTTTACATTATCCATACAAATTTTGTAACAGTTTGAGTTCCCAGAAACCATACATAGACAATAAATATCATGCTATTAAAGTATTAAATTTGTACAAAAATACTTTAGTTTAATACTCATTTGTTTCAAATAAAAATACATATTAAGTGGTTCATGATCTGCTTCAATATTATTTTGAATGAATTTTCTCTGGCAGTGCTGAAATATGAATAAAACATTTCATGTTTATGCATAGGGTAGGAAAGCTTGCTATGGGGATAGCATTGTGGATATTTTAACAATGAAAATTGATAAAAATGAAAAGAGATGGAGACTCTACATTTATAATAGACAAATCCAGTGTCCTTCCAGTCACCAAGTTACATTAATTACCATGACAATACAGTAAACAAACCAAAGCAGCTGCTGGTGAGCCTAAAAAGCAATTGGCAGCATTTTATTGCTTTGAATGGAAAACAGGACAGAATTTGGGAAGGAGTGAGTATGTGTGTGCACAAATCTATTTACAGTTTTAGAATTAGTTGCCCAAAATGGTAAAGTTCAATGAGAGAGATTCAACAAAGCTATTTTTAAATAGGTACTTTAAACCAATCTGCATACCATTTAATTTAATTTTTAAAAAAGAATCCCGTGTAGCTATACAAGTTAGCTTGCATGTGCCCTAAACTGGGTAGTTCATACGGTTTTGCATCAGTTTTCCTTTGCTACTGAAGTTCAAAATTTAAAAAAAGATCTTACTTTAACATTTGTGTTATAAAAAAGGTATTTTCAACATCACTAAAACTTGTTTTTATTTTTAAAACCAGCAATTCATCAGAAGTTCCAAATGCCTAAAAGTCAGAAGTTCATACAGGGTGCAAGACATATCCTGTTCAGTACATCGTTGCATAGGGAATAATATAATTCCTAATAAAATCATACTACAGCAGGGCAGTAAACCTTACCCCTTTTACACTTCAGTTTCTTTTGTGTACTTTTGCTAAATTAGTTGTAAAACCACATCGTTTTTGTCTCTTCCCCCTTTCCTTACTTGCAGAGGCACCAGAAGTAAAAGTCATTAAAAAGTAACTGCTATGACATACTAATCTTCTTCATACAGCAGAAATATTTCAAGATTCCTTTGCTCAGTTATCAGCTGGTGTTTGAATAAATTCAGTTCTGAAAATCAAATGCCCTATTCTAATGATGTAAATTGGGAAGGGGCCATTAAAATAAATGAACATGCCATCTTCCATTTAAATATTTCTCTAATTAATCAGCTATTTTCAGCATTACTTTTCTCTTGCATTTTAAGGTCAGCTTGGAATGGCACTGTTTGTGGTCTCAGAAAGCAAGAACAGAACAGAACGCCCCTTTGGGAACTGGGTAGCATATAATGACCCTTGAGACTCCCCTGTGCTTCTTAATGCCACATATAAAAGCTGTATCTCCAGTGTATCAGCAATCTGAAAGAGATTTAGCACCATTTAAAATGTCTTGCACTCATACAGTTTTTGGCTATAAAGTGTTCGTAGGATCCCGTTTCATCTCTGAACAACTGTTGTGTCCACTTTGTTGAAGAAAGGCATTGTTCTGATCACTCCATTCCCCAGCTGAGAAAGGCTGTTGGTCTGAGCTCACCTTTTGAGAGGCTAGAGGGTTTCTACTAATAACTAGTTCTAGTTTATTGCCAGATTCCGCTATAAGGGGCACAACTAGACAGCAGTCAAAGTCTCTTGTGCGAACGTGATTCACCTGAAAGGTAAAAATCTTTGTTTTACACCAGCCAATGAAGAAAAACAATACATTCCGCCTAAGTGTCCCTTAGCCCACCCTGGTACCCTCCCCATATGTGTTGGAGTGCAACTTGGGAATTATGGGAGTTCCACACGGAAGGCTACCTTAGGATGAACTCCGGCAGCATCTATCCCACCATGCTCAGTGTGTCAACAAGACCCATCTCTAGTGCAATGGGGTTTAACTTTTTTTTTTGTAAAGGAGCTGTAAATGAGCATAAATGCTTGTTTCTAAAACAGGAGAGATTAGTGGAGTTTGCAGAAGGGAGCTGTCCTGTCCTGGAACCAAGTATTTCTGCTTGTTTCCAGAGTTTCTTTACAAAGTATTTACATCCTGTTGTACTAGTGATGGGTCCTGATGGTACAATAAGGATCAGGAGAGCAGCAATACTGCTCCCTCTCTCGCATTAGGACCAAGGAGCTTATCATAAAGAGTTTAAACTGAAGAAGGAAATATTTGCAAAAGTGTATCGGTAAATCACATTTAAATATTAGCAGTAAAGAACAATTTGCAGCTTGTTTACTCAGAAGTTGTTTCATGTACAGCAAATGAGCACAGGGTTTTAGCTATGTTAAGCCAGCACTCATTTAGCTAGCTTAGATTACATTCTGTTCTCTTTTAGTTGGGATGGTGAATATCTTTCACAGTATGTTGAAAGATTCACATAAAAGGTGAATTAGGAAGCAGAACCAAAGTTACACAGCAAACTTCAAACAGGATTTCTCCTAATGTCTGAATGCTGAGTTTAACTCTCTAAGCATTCTTTCGCTTGATAAAAACCACACACTGTATTCAGGCTTTGCTGTGTTAGTTTGGTTGCCAATGTTAAAAGTTTCAACTCTACCTGTAGTAGTCTATCATATGGCTTCAAACCACCCACATCTCCAGGTCCAGCTGGCCGAATATTTTTAACATAAACTCCTTTTTCCAGTAAACCATCTGAGACACTGAACCCAAAATCTTCCATATCAGAATCCTTGTATAAAGTTACCTATGGAAGTGAAGGAAAAAAATGTTCATGATGGCATTCAAAACTGTATTTTTTCTGGCTGTCCATATTTTCATTCAGATATTTACAGTATCTTGAGCTGTGATATCATGTTGCTTTTCAGCATTTTTAAGGACATCTGCTGTTACATCTTTTAATAGAACTGTTTCCCATACTCATTGTGTGTGTCTTGCATTTTGTAAAAAAACATGGAGAGAGATATTTGGGAGGTGTTTTACATTACATTGTAGACAAGCACTATGCTTATCCAGATCAGGACAGCCATACTGCACTTAACAGATATACAGAAGGTTTTTGCTTCTGTGCATGGCCCCTCCCTCAGCATAAAGTGATGAGCCAATGACTGGGTATATTTGTCACAGCAAACAGCCTTGTGCATTTTCTACATACTTTGCATGAAGGATAACATGGTTCCCTGGGCAATGTGGCACCCTTGCTCCACACTCGGCCTTCCTGCTCTCACCATGCATTCCAGCAGCCCTGGAAAGCAAAACCTCCTTCCTTACTCTATTTCTTCCTAAGGACTATGGCAGCCTCTTCCTCACTGGTCCACTGAGCTTCTGAGGTGAGTTCTCCCGCTTCCCCCTCCCCACTATACTGGCACCTCTGCAATGCTTTCTAGCTCCTGCAGTCCCCAAAAGAATTTGTCTGAACTCACAATAAATGCTTGTGATGCAATTTTACTCTTCTGCCGCTGCACACCTGTTTTCTCCATTTCCAAAAGTAAACCAATAGGAATAAAGCAATGACTACATGTGTTAGGGAGCTGAGGTTAGCAGAGAACTGATGGCTGAGCTTTTTATTCTGCTTTTAATGTAGCCAATGAAACAAACTTCACTCAGTATCTCCACAGCTGTAGGGCACAATTCTTCTTCCCCTTTCTCCATTTTCTACTCTTCACAGTATGTATCAGATAAAAAATAATCTGAAACTTTTGCATTGTTCTTTGAAACAACTACATGACATTATTGTAAATCAGGCATGTGTGAATAAAAAGCTACATTTGTATTTGCTGATACTGCTTTGCCACACTCAGATTCTTTCAGCTAACAGAAATTTAGTCTTTATTCTGCCCAACATGGGTGTTTACTAAGAGAAAGGATAGCTCAACCAGCATAAATGTTGGAAAAATTGCAGGACTCCCTCATCACCATCTCCCAAGATCCTTAACTTTGGAATGGACAGACCCTTTTATAAATCAGCTTTGTTTCTTCTCAAGTACATTTTGAGTGGGTGAATAATCACTGGGAAATTAAGGCAGAGATGCACTGCAAAACAACCTAGGCCAGTGACTAGTGTGCTAAAAACAGATATGGCTTTGATTTCCTGTCCATGTTTGGTAAAAACATTTCACTAAGCAGGCATGTAACAAGCCCACTTTGGAAGCATTTGGGGAAGTTAGGAGTTTGTCCTACATCCACGGCAAAGCTTAAGGCCTAGAGGCACACATACCTTGTGTAATTCCACAGGAGTTGGTGACATGATTTCTTTCATCTCTTGCTTCATTTTCCGTAAAGCTACAGACTTCCTCCCCACATCTGAAGGCAATGTATTGCTCCGGGTAGTCTGGCTGTAATGTGGCCTTGAAGTGCTTCTTTCCTGAAAGCTGGCTTGCCTTCCCAGATGGCCACGATGCTGTGGGTTGTCATGGTTAAGACTCATTGTACTCCCTGACATAATTGTTGCCTGCAGCATTAATAAACAGGTTTTTATAATATATGACATTATAAACAAAAGATTGGTTCGCAAGAAAAGGCAGCATCCTCTATTCTGTTGTGATAGCCAAAATGCAGTCATTTCAAAGCACAGCAAATGGCTGGAAGGTACATGAGACAGTTTGACTGGGACTCCTGTGAAAAAGTGCTGGCCAAAAAGTTATCAGATGACATTTTGATCCAAACTGCCAAAGAAATATTCAAGTCACTATAAATCCTAAGCTCAAATGTTAGACTACAGCTGTTATGTCAGAAACAAAGCTGCAGAAATCTTTGCCGGCTAATCAAAGGTTTTTACTTAAAAGTTCTTTTAAAATAAAAAGGATTAGCCTAAAACAGAATGAAAGTGTTTATTACAGAGACATTTTTAAAGATGGGAAGTGAAAAATGCAACTCAGCAAGGATTTGCCTCCCTTGCAGAAACAGCTTCTTTGATCATGACAGGACAATAATTAAAAATGCCAAATAGGAGAGGGCATCTATAGCTTTAATAAGAACTAAGGCATGCGTGGGTGCTTTTGTATGTGTGTGTGTGGGGGGCACTTTAGTAGAATAATAAAACTGTAGCAACACACCTCAAGAACAAGACTGCTAAAGGCTACAGGTAATGTGAATTCGTATGTAACTGGAAGCTTAGCATTATATCTTCTGTTGAATGAACCCTGTTCTGGCTAGTTTTACCCTCTCCAGAAATAATACACCTTGCTGTTAGAGAGGTTTATCAGTAATAAGTGGCCACGACTAGTGGAATTGCTCACAAAAGGTTCATAAAGTATAATATCCAGATAACCCAAAATGTGAGTTTGCTTTCTATGATATACTGAAATACTGCAACAACTGGACTGGGGGCTTGCTTAGCTGGAGAACTGGGAATATTAATGTCCCTCCTGATAGGAAGAAAAAATATACTTAAAGAAAACAGAACACCTGAACTCCACACTGGAAAAGTGGAAAAAGCCACAGCAGGCAATGAAAATCCTTAGGGAATGTAATATATTTTCATTATGTGAAAATACTGTGAAAATGAAAGCTGCCTATGCAGTAAGAATCTGTTCATTAATCCACTTTCTTCATAACACACTAATTGCAAAAAGCGGTCCAGAATTGTTGTGGTCTACTTGCTTCTGTCTTTACTAAAATGCCAAGCACTTGTACAAATAAACCAACCTCAAATTAGAAACTGTATTCAGTGAAGGCAGAAAGTTAGAATGGTGTGCTTATTTTGAATAAAGGTTTATTTTCCATTAAGTTTGGTCAATATATGGGGAAGATCAGTTGTCTAGTGGCTGACCACTTGCCAAAGGTCCCAGCTTCAATCCCTGCATTTCTACATAGGCCTGGGAAAGACCCCTGCATTGGAACTAAATGTGATTTATACAGAAATCAGTAACTTATTCTTGGCTGATGTTCCATTAATTTCAATTTATCTACTTGGAGTGTGAGTAAATGTATAACTAGTCCCCTGTCTGAAACCCTGTAAAACTTGCCAATCAACACAGAGTCTGCTTGTAGACTATACTGAGCTAATGGAGCATCCTTCTGACCTGGTATAATGTAGCTTCCTGTGCCCCTAATAAATACAGGTCAAAGTGCCAATTTATAATGCTTCCTCTTATTTGGAATTAAATAAACACACTTGCATTTAACTCGTGTGAGTGTGTCCACAGTGAATTGGTGAACTACTTTTAGTTCTTGGCTTGTAGCGTTTCAGCATTTCCTACTTCTTGTGAAATTAATATAAGAACATCTCAATCAAAGAAAAGCATACTTTGAGAGGGGTGCAAGGATGGCTGGACTGATGGGGAATGAGTGGTTTATTTCCACAATAGAATTTACACAGTTGTCTCCTGTTCTTAGAGGTACTGACAAGATATAGTGAGGATAGTCGATGTCCAATTAATTTTTCTCTTTAAAAAACATGTCATCCTTCAATTGATGAATTATCAGCCGATTCACATGTGCATTCTTATTATCTCTTTCCACATCCATTTGCTGTGCTGAGCCCAAGAAGGAAATCCGTAAGAAAAGCCTGAGATATCATGCCTGAAGACAGAACTCAACCAAAGTGGCATGGCACCCTCCTAAGGTCTTCTGAATGGCCACTAAACATACATTCGATCCACAGAAAAGTAAACAGACATGCAACACAGAAGCCAAAAATCTGCGCCTATGCAATCAGCTTGGGCTGCATGAGTTTTAACCAGTTATGCCATTCACATTCCTTGTGGTTGCTCAGGGACATCAGTGTGACAGAAAAATGAAAATGATTCTCTGCCAGTTTTGCAATGCAGGGAATTTAAAAGAACATAAAAGAAAATTCTTGAGGGCTCACCCTTCTGAGACATTACAACTGGAAGTATATTCATGCTGAATATTCAGGCAACTTTAAACAAAGAGATGCCTAGGCACCCTCCTTTCGAAGTGAACTGCCCTGTGTGAACTTGAGGCGGAGTTCGTATCTGTGATTCACACCAGGTGGCAATGTGTAAAAAGTAATTGCATACACAAATGTTTGGCAGTTAGCTTGGTTCACCAGGTGAATCCAATTTTAAAGAGTGCAAATCTTTGCTTTTCGTTTATGTTCCCCTTAATTCAGGTTCCATTCTATTGCAAGAGACACATGCCAAGAGAACTTGTTGTAAAAGCAGCTGGACGAAAATGGGATGTGCTGCTGCAAAGGCAAAATAAGCCTGCAGACAGGTGCAGTCTGCAGTAGCACAGGAGAAGCTTTTGAGCACACACAATTCGATCATTTCAGCAGTGGTTCCATGAAAGAAAACAGCTTGATTAGGTGGTCAGGGAGGCAACTGCACAAGCAAAAGATATAAACATAAAGGGTAGGTACCAAGAGAGTCATGTTTCTCAAACACAGACGCCTGTCAGCCTTGTCCTGTGGAAAGGGGGTTAAAGCTTTAAAATAAATTTGTGAGATTAATGCAAACTTAGAAAAAAGGAGGAAAAACCCAGAAAATGAGTGTTAATTGAGACAAGAACTAGCTTATTGTGTCAAGATTAAGATTGCTTCTACCTCTAATTCCCTCAGAATTCCTGATTGTCCACAGGTCTCCAGGTCCTCCAATGCTTGAGACCAAAAATTCTCCTCTTGGTCAGCCTCAGGTGCACCTGCAAAGCTGGATTCACAGAGAAATAGTTGCTTAAATGCAAAGGCTACATGGAAGCAAACCTCACAGGAATAGCCTGCTTTCACCAAAAGTAATAACAACAGCGGACTACTGATGTTCAGCTGTGGAACCTTTTTAAGTCCGAATTCCATTTTGGAGAAACTTTGAGGACAGCATTTAGTGGTGGGCAGAACAGAAGCCCAAAGGGATAGGGCCAAAAATACCACTATACTTAGGCTCGAAACTCTTCCTGTCAACATGTAAGCCCTGAAAGAAACATTTTGTGCTTTAAGAATGGGGAAAAGCTTCCCAAAAGTCAAGAAACCACCAATGTTTCATGGTTGAAGAAAGTTGTGGGGCTAGCAAAATGGGAAGACCCAGACTCACTACATCTGGCCCTAAGCCTGCAGCTCTGCACCTTTACTCCGTAATTATGGAAGTATTAGTCAAAACCTTATTTCTGTGGCATATCCTGATGGTCTGCCCCAAGAATTAGTCCGACAGCTTCTCACAACCACTAACACACATTGGGAACCTTCTAAAAAGAACCTTCTTCTATGTCTGTCCTACTCTTGCATGGACTGCTATTCATTTCCCACTCTGATTGCCGGTGATGCCCAAGCCTGCTTCGCTTTAGCATTGCTACAGCGTTTGCTGCTCCCAGGCTATTCACTGGGGCCTATATGTTGGCTTTCCTGATCTGCCCTTAACTGCATTTTGAATGGCTTTCTCTGCTTTCTTAATTCAGGGCCATCAGGTTTGTCATACATTTGATTCTTTTAAGTATATTTGTCACTATATTGCAGTTTTAGTTTGGTAAAAAGCATGGATTTTTTTGTTTTTGCATGGCAGTAAAGATATATTTTAGAGAAATAAATTAAACAGAAACAAAGCCTAATAAGCCTGTGAGCTCACACTTTTATGGCAAGTACTGACAAACACATCACAAGGAAAACATTTCTCAGGGCATTATGTTCTTTCTTGAAGTTTTCTGGTGAAGGAACTGATTTGTTTTTCAGGCCCTTAGCTTGGTTGTCAAAAATCTTCTTTCATTTCTCTACTGTTTTAGAGGGTACAGGATATTCTTGCCTTTTGCTTAGTTTGTCTTGTTTGTACAAGGTCTAGATCAGGAAGGGGTAACCTGGTGCTCTCCAGGTGACTACCACCTTCATAATACTTTACTAGTGGTCATTAGGGACCACTAATGTTGGAACTTAAAATAAAACAACTGGCAAGCGCCAGGTTGGCAATCCTGGCCTAGAGAACCCTCAGGTTATGTGGTGGGTGCATAGAAGTAGAATCAAACAAACAAACAAACAACTTCCTGAGATGTAGCGTAAATATCTGCTGGATTAGCATTCTGACTTTACTTGTAGACCCTGGTGGTTCTCCAGAAATGGATGAGGGAAGTGTGGATAAAAATACTGCAGGCTCATTATTATGTGTGAGAGAAAATGCTTGGCTGTTTGTCTGCAAACACTAATGTTTTACATCAGCACCTGAGAAGCATGCTTGCCAATTTTCCCTTTGTGCCTTTGCTGACTCCATGCCAATTTCCAGTTAAGCCTGTGCTTTGCTTCCTATTGACTACTTAGCTTGATTACTTGCTGACTCACAGCATGCTTTCAGCATCACAAGAGTTCCCCACATCAGGAAGAAACTGAAGAGTCTAGAATTGCTTAGAAATCTCAGAAATGCACAGCACCTGTTTGTTGACTTACCATAATTGGCCTTCATATTGTGTCCCTATCTCAGAATCATTAACTCACAAAATAAGTTGGCAATAGTTTTGGAATTAGATAAAGGAACAGATGTCTGGCGATCTTGGTTTAGTGTTACTTGAAGAGAGTTTGGATCAGAATTAATTAAAATGGAGCACCTTTATTATCAGTAAAGACTAACTAGCAAACTTTTTAAAGGCTTTCATGATACCATTGTGAAAAAACAGTGCTGTGTATTGCTTCCCATGTATGCTCAGAGATAATGCCCAGAAACAGTGTATTTTTGCTTTAAAATTGTGCAGAGAAAGATTCTTCAGGCAGATTGTAATTCCTATCAACCCCTCCATGAAGTCTCTGAAAATATTGATTAGACTGTATGCCAGTGGAGAAACGAGCACTAACAATGTTTGTGTGAAAATTATAGCAAAACTTATTCATGGGTGAGCAGAAACTATTACATAATTTGGTTTAAATAATTTCGACTTTGTAACAGTGGTAGTTTTGGCAATACTGAGACAGTAATCGCTCTGTAAAACTGTGCCATAACCAGTAGCAATTGAAAAAGGAAGGCCTGGGGAGGCGTAGCACTAGTTACGTCATGCGTTTGCCACATGTGGTCTCACTTCTTGATACCAGAGCATCAAGGCTATTAAGCATATGGAAACTGCAACCACATCATTATAAGTAATGAAAAATCAGCCTTAAATAAGATGCAGGTGGCATGTGTGAAACTACTGGGGAAGCGATTCTATCACATGCAAACAGAAGCAGAGGTAGTGAAACGCACATTTTGAGCTTAATTTTTTGCACGGCAATCAAGAGCCAATCATCTTTTTATGCACATAAATTCACCAAGTGCACACATCTTGCTTTCAGCATCATAACCTTTCATGAATGTCACTAACCTAACCTAATAAATCTCATGCAGCATGAACTGTAAACATGAAATATCTCTGTAGTTCAAGGCCAAATTGGCACTTGGGTATTTTGAATCTAGACAGGAGATGTATCAACAAAGAAATTTCAGCCAATCCAAGCTTAAAATGCATCTCTGGTACAGAACTTACCTGCTCGCCACCGGTTTATCCCATTCATCATCACTTAGCCCTGCATCTTGGAAGGGGTTGGTGCGGGGCCTGTTGGGAGGAGACAAACTGCCCCTTTGTTTTGGACTCCTCCACTCAAAGGTATTGAAGTTGTATCCTGAAGTCTGGTAAGTGGGACCTAAAATATCAACAGTATGTTTACAACTACTGATCTTTAAAAATATGTATAGCCTGTGTAGCACTTCCACCAAGTCATGGGTTTGATCCAGCGTAATGTTCAATTTTGCTCACAGTGAAGAAAGGGCAGCGGGTCAATTTTTCTCATTCCTCCTTCCCTCTAGGCTCCTGAAAAGTTGCTCTGAAGACCTGAGACACAGCAGAGGGGGACTCAGAAGACTAAAGAGGGACCCAGTGAAGACTGCCTCCCTGCCCCGTGGGGAGCCTTTGCTAGATCCCAGTGCCTTCAAGACATGACAAGAGGCCAGCCATTCCCAGAATGACCAAGCAGGATCCAACATCATGCATTTTACAGTTCAACTGTACACATGTCTATGAAGAAGGAAGTCACATTAAATTCAGTTGATTTTATTCCCATGTAGACACATATGTATAAGCCCCACAGTCTTAAAGTCTCTCTCTCTGTGCGCGCGGTGGGGTCTTCTGAGAACTATACGATTGAAGACATTATTTTCTCCATCTGGTATATGTAGTGTGTCAGAGAAGTCTAGAACCAGGTCAATGGCTGAGGATCTGATCTGATGAAACCCAGGACCAAATATGTTATTCAGTGAGTCTCCAATATACAATGCCATCATTATTTGTTTTTCGGCGCCAGGCGAAGACCTTTTTATTTAAGCAGCATTTTAAATGTTAATATTATTGAATTTTATCTGGCCAGGGCGGCTTATTTTATATTGTGTGTGTATATCTACATATACATACACACACACACACATATATATATATATATAATTATTATTCTAATGTGTATATTTTAATTTATGTGGTTTTAATTTATTGTTGTAAGCCGCCCCGAGGCTTCGGCGAATGGGATGGCATAAAAATGTTTTAATAAATAAAATAAATAAATAATAAAAAATTCTTATTGTTAATAAGACTTAACTGGGATATTAATTTATTTAAATTATGCAAGTGAAAATATTAGTGGGAATTAACTAATTATCACATATATTGGAACTAATAAGACCCATGCTCAAACTCCTGTGTTGTACTTGCATTTCAGAAAACCTCCTCCTTCACACCTTTATCAAGTATCACACATTGATCTTCATTACACAGGTCTGCAATCCAAGAAACAAGGAGTGAACTTGCACTGGGCTGGAAAGTTCAAGTTATAAACTGCAAGATGTAACATCTGCAATTGAGTATCTTTTCATCTACTTGCACTAAAACGAGTCACACTATTAGGTAGATGCAATACATAATGAAAAAGAGGAAAAGAGTCAAAGGGGTTGGAAACCTGCCTAGTACAGCCCCCTCCTACAAGGCAGAACTGTCCATCAGCAAAAGCTGCTCACAGACTCACTCACGAAGTTTGGAGCTGAATGTGGCCAGACAGCAGGTTTGTGGCAACAGGAATTTTCAGGGCAAGCAGACCAAGATGATACACCAACAAAGTAAGGCATAATCCAAGGGGCGCTGGCAATCTGACCCAGGCACCAGTTTTGCAAGCCTAAATATGATTACTTAGATGTTACGTGTACGCAAAACCCATTTACCAATTGTCCAACAAGGAACATGTGTACCTTCACCCCATTCAGCATACTGCTGCCTCTAGTTAAAATGGGTCCTGCTACTGAAAAGGAAATAGAGGAATCTTTCAAAGAAGGGATGGCAACTAAGACTGTTCTGTGATACTTTGTACCCATCAAATGATTTGCACAATGGATGCTTTTGTAGATTACAGCCCATTATATCAGAGGCATGTAGTTATACATATGGTCAGAAAAATTCTAGTCATGAACTAATATTCTGCTATTGCGGGGCTTTCAGCTGCCATAGGATTGTTTGTCAGTTATTATAAATGTCATCTTCATCTATTACATTTCCAGATATGGATACGATGAACAGCTAGAGTTCTGTACTTCCCTTTCTGAAAGCCTAGAGCCAATCACACCACTCTTAATGTTGATGGGGCACAGAGCCACAACAGTCTGTTTTCCTTTCGCTCTGCTTTGGTAATGGGAAGAAGACACTTCTAGCAGCAGGATCAGTAAAGGGTGGAAGGAAAAGCTGCGTAGAAAAGCTATCTCAGCCTGGAGTTGAAAGATCGTAATGGGTATGAGACAGGCAAGCACCTGAATGTACCAACTGTTTCCATCTGTGTATGTAAGCTTCTTTGTTTTACTGTTAACCTTTGGTGTGAGAGTTGGTGACTAAGGGAAGGAGCATGCATGCCTTTGAGGGTAATCTTGGCAGAGAAAGAAGGTGGCGGCAGCAAGGGAATTAACAGCAATACCCTGATTAGCCCAAGTGAGGGCAGATAGTGCCTGGGCAGGGAAGAGGAGTCAAGGTGTCAGAGGCTGAGTGTCTTCCAGCTCCTGGAGGAGAGACAAGCAGGGCACTTGAGGGGAATACACAGCCTGGGAGCTGGGTAGGGGTATAATGGCCCACAGTTCAAGCAGTGCAGCCATAACCGCAAAAGCTAAAGCTGGTGAAAAACTGACAAATCCACTACTGTTTCCAAAAATGTGGCGTGGCAGCGAGTGTCCGGCTGACCAGAACTGGACACAGAGATGCTTTCAATTTCTTGTACAAGGATATAAATCCTTCCCTAAACTGACTGGAAATGCTTCATCTGGTTACCAAGAATTAATACACCATCTTGGCACTCACATCACAGTAGTGGCTCAGCGTTATCTTGTGACCAATCAATATTCCATAATCTCACCCTCTTCTGTCTTTTTCAGCTGATGAGTCACCAGGACAGAAGGAATAGCAAAAATGCTCATCATCTGCCCTCGCCTGTCCTGCACTATTGATTTTCATTTCCTTTCTATTCTTCTGTCCAGGATGCTGCTGACCCAAACCCCCGGTCCACTGGCTCCAACAATGGTTTGCTGAGCATTCTTTGGGTTCTTACAGGCTAGAACTATTTTCAATTTAGAACATATTCACAGTTCAATATTTCATTTGTTTTTCAGATAGGTGAACAAATGGACCTGCAGGGAGTTGTGTGTGATTCATATGCTGTTGACTGTCACATAGAGTAAATGACAGCTGCATGCAGAGACTTGCCTTCATCGTGAGGGACATGCAATGACAGCAGAACAGTGAGTTCTGGCACACAAATCAAAATAAACCAGATCACTACCTTTTAAAATTACATATAACATTATATTTTGGACTTTAAGCTTTAAGAAGCAAAATTAACTACCCCAAAACTAATAAAAACAAAATCTTTAGATATATTTGCATGCATTTGGGATCTGTCTCAAAATAAAACATTTAGCTTTAAAGATGATGCTTCATTTTGCTACTGCTTTAATAAGTAATGGCTGTATTTACACTTGAGTCAAATTAACTTGAGACAAAGTAACAACGGTAGGAAGTGCAGCAAGTTTTTCTCTATAGCCTATTTTAACAAGGAGGAATAAATTCTGACATTTTTTCTCTAAATGGATAGGATTGGATATCCAAAAGAACATTGTCAAGTGAAAAATTACTTCAATATACATAATGGAGTAAAAATGGTTACTGAAAGTGATGAGCAGAAGTCTACCTGAGCACCAATAATTGAGAAATAATTCTCACATGAAACAATATTTTAACAAAAGCTGATTTGCCTACCGACTTTCCTAAAGGAAGACTTAAAAGATCATTGCATACCGTTACCTGCTCCTTCTCATGAAAAATGTGGACATTTCCACAAGAACATAAAAAGACTGCTGCTGGATCAGAGCAAAGGGGTATATAGCCAGCATCCTGTTTCCTACAGAAAACAACTGGAAGCTAACTAGAAGACCACAAGAAAGTGGGAAGGAAACAGACCATCCCTGGCACCCACCGAGAGCTAGTGTAGTCTAGTGGTGAGAGAGTTGGACTGGGACTCAAGTGACCTGGGTTCTAGTCCCTGCTTGGCCATGGAGCCAACTGGGTGACTCTGGGCCAGTCCCAGACACTCAGCCCAACCTACCTCAAAGGGTGGTTGTTGTGGGGATAAGAATGGGAGCAGGAAGAGAATGATGTGAGCTGCTTTGAGTTCTTCAAAATAAAAAGGTAGGATATAAATTTTATAAATAGAATAAAAATATTGTTTGATCCAGTGACTCCCCCATTGCTTGTCCTCCACAGTCCCAGGGACTGCTCTGTGAGGGTGGCTAACAGCCAGTGGCACACATGAATGTCTAATCCCTTTTAAAGCCACCTAAGCAAGTGGCCGTGGTCACATCTTGAATGAATTCTGATATTCAGTATTCATTGAATGAATATCAATGAATTCTGCAAGTTTACTATTTATTAAGTCATACTTTCATTTGTCTGTTGAATCTATTACTCTTCTATTAGTTTACTTCTACATAAGTCTATGTAGCTTACTAGTATGCAGTACTGATTTCTATGAAACAATCAGTTTGCTGATTAAGCATGTAATCCTACAGGCTGCACCCTGATGATCATAATCCCCCAAACTCAAAGGCATATGAGCATTGTATGCAGGAACTGAGGAGCGTTGGAGGCAGTCTTTGTCCTCTTGCCCTGCATTTCTTCTTAGTCTGTCTAGGCTAGAATGCTTTGAAAGGGGAAGAAAGGGTGGTGGAGGCCTGAAGATAACCCATTTCTTGGTTTTTCCAGTCTCCTCCCCTCCCTGCCCATCAAAAAACCACTCCTCCCGACGCCAAGGTTGCATTTACTATTCATCCCCCTTCACTTGTATTGAACCCCATTTGCTGTTTTGTTTCCATCGATCCAGTCTGGACAGCTGGGTTCTGGAGCTTGCTACAGCTTGCCATTACACGTGCTCAAAATCATGTGGAGATACAGAAGGGTAGAACTGGGATGGAAAGATATTCCCTTTGTCATGGTGGTGGGAGAAGTCTTGCTTTGGCTTAGGGAGGTGGCTGCTGGGGTGTCTCCATGCACAGCCTCACATCCAGTCCTCTGTCTTCCTATGATCACATAGCGGAGAATGGGCTGCATCACCTTGCGCAGAGAAGGAAGTTACTGGGCTAGTTTGCATGATCACAGGGTGCTAACCACCTTGTGCACGACCATCACATGCTGGTTGGATTTACACAACTGTCTCTGACAGCGTGGCTTCTTGTGTTGTTGAAATCTAGCAAGGATGAGTGGTTAACAAATCTCTTTGAACCTGTGGCTTGTTTTAGGGTTGCAGGGTAGTTTCTTAACACCCTTGCTGGTTCAGACATCCCAATGCACTGCTGAGACAATTATGGAAATCCAGCTGACACACAACCGGCATGCAGCATGCTTAATTAAGCCACTATGGCTTATTAACCGCTCTGCAATCATGTGAACTGGCCCAGTGTGTGGCTTGGCCCAACTTAAGGAATGGGGGGAGTCCAATAGAAGGAAAACATCTTTCATTGCATCAATGACCTTTCTGTGTTCTATGTAAACCTCTCTCTGTGTGCAGTGACTTGATACCCCAATTTAAAAGATAATATTTTGCTCATTTTTTTTCAACCAGGATGTTACTTTTAAAACCAGCATTTAATTTCATTGATTTTTAAATGACAATTCTTAAAGTAATGGTCAAATACTGTACTGTAACCATGAAATCTCGCAGGGATAAAAGAAAACCTATTCTTCTTTCCTCTAAAACCTTTCTGAAAATCAGTTACCCCTGACATCTTAATGTCAAGGGATGAAGGAGAAACAGAAGGGAAACAAATCACTGAATAATCTCTTTATGGTCCCCTTCGGCAGTTCTCAATAAATCTTTACCACAGTCAGCTTAAAAATCACAATGAATGGGCCTCAGATGTTCAAATTAATGAATACCTTCAATGTGTTTTGCATCTTTTATTAATCTAAGCTTGAAGGATAAACCCATTTAGCTGTGCATGAACTATGGACTAGCCATTCATACATCACTAACACTAGTAGAAGGCTGTTAACATATTGATATATGCTTGAAAACCTGTCATAGCTTCACAAAAGAGCAAAACCAAGGTTAGCTGAATGCAGGAAGTAGCACAGGATGCTTCAGTGAGGGTTTAATGAGATGCATGCAATCCAGTTAACAAAGGAGACTGCCTCTGAGGCACTGCAAAGCTCCTCAGCTCAAAAGGTCTTGTCCCTGAACTGTTCTCCAAATTATGTGTGCCAGGAGAAATGCATCCTCCCACCTTGGCTTCCATAGCTGTTATCCATTCCGGAGCCATCCCAGGATTCTACAGCACTGTCCACGCTTGGGACTGCAGTGGAGTATATTTCAGAGAGTTTGCCTGGCTTCTGTGTAGAGGCTGCATCCTCTTCAGCATCACTTAATTCATTTAGGAGACCAGAAGCAGAAAACTTCTTGGGGCTTGATGCTGGTAGGAATTAAATGACAAGAAGGAATGTTATATTTTGCTGTACGGTAAAATAGAAATGCAACTTCATTTGTATGGAAGGACATTCTGACAACAAAAAGTTTAAACAAAGAGTTTGCTCACAGACAACCATTTCTAAGGCATAATGGAAATGATGCTCACCTTATTATTATGATAATTATTTAACCTCTTCATACTACCATAGCCCCGTCCTGATGGGGTACCAATATCTTGATTTTATATATACATTGTGGAGAAGAGAACCCTTTTTCATGTTTAAGTACAGGCCCAGTTCATACAGCTTCTGCTGCTGACAATTTCACTCAGGCAGAGAGGCAGGACAAAGAAAACCCTCTCAAAGATTTGCATAGTTGTTTTTGTCTTTTCAAAAGGCTACATGAATGTTTAATGGATATGTACGCATCTTTTCCCACATTCAATTTAAAATACTGAATTGAAGATGGAGAGGATTAGTGCAGGTGTGTCTGTGTCATCATGGATACTATCCAATAATGCCTGCATTAAATATACAAAACTATATACATGTTTTCTACAGCAGCAGAAGCTGTTCTTCAGGAGTAAGAGTGGAAGCATCATCTAGTCTCTGGAGGATCCTGATCTGGCCCATGACTCACTATAATGGAGTTGGAGGTTATGAGGCCTTAGGGAGGAGGTAAGACAGATGAATCATTTTGTTATCTTTGATAAAACCAGGGGAATCTAGCCAGGAAGGGGAGCAGTGCTCTCGTCTGAGCAATTCCTTCATGCACCCTTTGCTGCCCTGATAGTGGCAAAGCACACACAAAAAGAGAAGGGGCTCAGCCAGGACTTGTAGTCGCAGTCCCAAAACCCTTCTCTTGGTGTGCTGTGTGCCACCGCCATCAGGATAGTGGGCAGCTATCGCAGAAGCATGCAGAAGAAGCATCTGGCCAACTCAGCATCACCTGCCATGCATCCTCACCCAGTGGAAGGATGTTTCTCCCAACACATTCACGTTCCCTGACACAGTCAGACCAGGGGAAGAAGTGTTTGTCCCCCTCACCCCTTTGGGAATCACTTTAGGAGGGGCAGCAGAAAAGGAGGAAAAGGGAAAATGCTGTTTCTCCTCCTTTCTGCCCTGCTTCTACAAACCCAGTAGGGCTTTAGGTAAGGTAGTTCCTTTGCCTTTGGAACACCTTGTCTCCACGGCTAAGACTGCTCTGTCAAACTCCCAGATTACCCATCCCTAACTGTTCTCTTCTCTAGTGTGAACATGCTATGCTTAGGTGCTCCTCACCAAACTTGCTTTCGAACACCTTTTGTTGCCATTGCATCCTTGGAGTTCAGTCGTATCTTTATGCACTGCGGTGTTCAAAACTGACCACTGGAATCCAGATGAGTAATGCAATTGCTTCCCACATCTGAATGGGACACTACTGTTATAAACCAAAAATGGGATTACATTTTGTGCAGCTATATGACATTAATGGGGTCTATTCAGTAGTTGTCTGCAACAAAGCATACATTCAAGAAAGTGTCCCATCTAGCCTATCAGGCTCTTTTTAAATATATTGACATTTGTTTCTCTCTTCCTATGTATACATTTTCTATGAGTCAAATACCATTTTCATGAACATATGCATTGACACTGCTAATGTTGGAGAATCTATAGAAATACCTGACACACTCACCATCTGTCTGTTTTTTGATTTTCAAGGTGACTGTCTCTCCTGCCATCTGTAACAAATGTATAGCTTCACTCAAAGGTTTTCCTTTCAGGCTGCTGCTATTTATTGCTAAGATTCGGTCTCCGATATGAATTGCACCCGTTCTGAAACGTGAGATAAATAAAACATGAAAAAATCAGTTTAAAAAAAAGCCAGAGAAACTGGGCCAAATATTTAACATATATGAGACAAGCAAAAGTGCCTTCCATTTTCCCTTTAGTTTCACATTTAATTTAAAATGTAAAATTAATGGGCGCTGCTTAAAAATTCTCCCCTCTAAGGCTACATGCACCAGGCTGTGTTTCAGACTTAATGGCAGAGCTGAGCCACACAGACAAAGAACACAGTTTCATTCCATGTGGTGGTACCATGTGGTGGCCTGCCCTTGCAACATTAAGGGGCTTGCAAAAATGTCCCTTGCCGATACCCTCAGATACTAGATTTTTAAAAAGAAATTGCTGATGATGATTTCCAGGCAAAAGGCAGCTCACAATGGTTTAATATTTGTATGTTGTTGTGGGAAAGAAATCAGGACAGCACTAGACAGAATTAAAGGGCCACAACATTATTTACTGGATATCCTAGTAAGGGAGAGGTAGTTTTATTTATTTAATAAAATATATTAAATTATATTTAAATTTTAACCATTTAAATATAATTAAGTGTAGTTATATGTATTTGTCAAGCTGGCATAGCTCAGTGCTCTCTGATATACTAAATACACACTCCCCACAGGTGTGGGAAATGTACATGTGAAGTAGGCTCTCTGTTCCAGGAGTGGTAATTCTTCTAGTTAAATGTAAAGCTGGGTCAAAGTGACCCTCTGCTCCATCTTAAAGCCCTAGTTTGTGTGGGCAGGGACCGGAAAGCCATATTCTTCTATGGCCTAACTTTCCACATCAGGAGAGGCATTCACACAACTCCCTCACACATTCATAAAGGGGGGATGGAATTGCATCCATTGACTGGATCTCTTGCATGCCAATGTGAATACTGGCTCTGCTAGTGGTACATCTGGCAGTGCTCTTCAATAGCCATGCTCAGTTGCTGGGCAAGATCTTACTACACTTCAAGAATGCATAGGAGACGTGTGTGAATCTTTCTAAAATTGATAACAATTGCAATTGTTGTACATTTATAAGAGAGGAAGAACTGAAGCAGAACTGGGCCACTAGCTCAGAAAACTTTATATAAGCTTGATAGTAAAGTACCCAGCTAATTGAATCTTGATCCTGCATCTGAAGATGTCTTCTATAGATGGCCTGAACTAGATAGAGGTTGACAAACTTTCATGCTAAAGTCCAGATTCAGACTGGGTCTCTCTGAGCCTACTCTAGAAGAAAAATAAAAAATAATCTCTGTGAAGCAGAAGGCTTCTTCCAGGAATTTATGATATCAATAATTCTTGAACTATGAGAATCCAAATTTAACAATAGCTTCATAATATACACTAACAGAAAAAGACCAAGGATCATTAACAATTTCATTAGTGATAAACTGTGGGAAATCTGCAGGTTCCTAAAGAATTATTGCATATGACTGAAATAATTGTTACAAATGAATGGCAACACAGTAAATAGCAGAACTATGAATACCTTCATTTCAATTTACCTTTCAGCTAATCCGCCTTTAGTAAGACTTGAAATGATAATGGGATCAAAGGGCTCTTCAGTACCAGAAATAGTGATCCCAAGAGGTCCTCCATACCGCTTGAGCTCGACAGTATAAATAATTGCTCCTGAGCTCTCCTGTTCATCTGCAATACATGCCAAGAGGATGCAATTGGTCTCTTATGAAAGAAGGAATGAAAAGAATAATACATTCAGAAAAACAATAATAAATCAGAGTGCGCATCCTCAAAGTGTAATGTTACGGAAACATATCTTATTATTCACTATTGTATTCTAACTCTGAAGCCTACACTTGACCTCACTGGCAACAACAGCAAATATCCTTCAGGTTCACTGAAACAAAACCAGGATTTTAAATAAGACAAGAGCTCTATAAAGTTATTCTGATGTATTTGCCTAGACAGAAGAAACTGTAAGGCAAAATTATTTTCTAATGTAGTTAAAGCAGGTTTTAGCTTCTAAGTTAGAGCTATGCAGAACTTTGTCAGCTCACATGCAGGACAAAAATGTGGAAGGGCATGCAGGTGTGCACATAAACCCCATTTCTAATATCCCTACATGCCAGGCTGTTGAACTGTCACACTTATGTTGGACTTCCAGGTCCACTACCATGCATTTGCTCCACGTGCTTGCATAAGGCAGTGGAAATCAAGTTGTTTAGTGAATACTTCTCTCAGCATGAATTAGAACAGTCACTTGAATATTTGAAAGTGGGTGGTTTGGCATATCTAATTATATCATTGTGGGACAGTCAGCTATAGATCACCATGATGATGTATACTGAATAAATGATTAATATTTATTTGCTCCAGAATTAAGAAGAAACAATGATACAGCATGGAAACATTCAAGCACATCAATTCACCACCAATTCACTTGGAATTAAAGAAAACATTTGGTCTGAAGTACATCATTGGTATAGCATATTTTATTAACTGTTAAATTTGTATCCTGCCTTTCCACACAACTGTGCTCATGGACACTAATAATAAAATAAATACAATGAAATGTATAGCAGACAAAACAAGGCAGAAGAAACCAATAAAAACAATCAGTAAAATCAATTGCTATATATTTACCACCCAGCTTCTCAGCCAAAGCCTGCCTAAATAAAATGCTTTTGCCTGCTGGTGAAAGGTGTTCCGAGATGGGATTAGCCAGGACTCCCTTGGCAAGGAGTTCCAGATCCTGGAAGTAGCCAGCAAGATTCTTCCTCAAGCTTCTGCATCAGAAGTTAGTTGGAGAGACAAAAGGGCCTCCCCAAACCAGCTTCATGCCAGAGAATGGGGTCTTTTGGAAAACCTGCTCCCAAGTTACAGAGGGCTTTGTAGGTCATAACCAGCTCCTGAATTGTGTTGGCTGAGGGACTCAAACTCAGTGAAGCTGCTGCAAGATAGGAGTCACAGGCTCCCTATAAGCAACCTGGACATCAGCCAACAGCCAAGTTATCTGCAACTGTGCTTGCAAGTCCAATCACACCCAGGTAGCCCCAAAGCATACCATGGCTGATGATACTGCAAGCTGCAAAGGGGTCTAACAGAACCAGCAGGGACATATCCATAATATTCATTGTCCACCAGAGATCGTAAGCTGCCCTGTGGCTAGTCCCTGGAGGCTACCACATTCTCAAGCACCTTGTGCAGGAATATTATATCAAGGCCTTATAAAGGTCTCAGCTGTTTCTGATTTGCTTGTCATCACCAATGTTATTATTTAATGTTCTTGCTTGAATTTATACTGCCTGATTATTAACCTTTGTTACACTGAGTCTCCTTTATGGCTGCTGATGGAAAGGCAGGATATAAATATTTTAAACAACTGAAATGTCAAGAAAATACCAAACTTAATTAGTATTCCTGCATAAGACATACGTAAATGCCCTGTAACTGTCACACACGTAACCTATGACACTGAAGAACTGGCACTGTATGCATATCATTGCATGTACAGATAGTGCACACATAATGGTGTACATGCATGTCTAGTTGTAGTTTCCTAGCACATATGCAAGAAGTGGCATACATGCTTGTGGAATGGATGCTTCATATTGTGTGCAAGCTTTTCATATTTTTCATAAATGTAATCATTTTCCTTAAGGAAAATTGAAAACTATGAAGAATCCATGAAGAAAGATAGTGCATGCTTACTTTCAATACAGATAATGTTATTGCATGTTTTGTGTAATAACAAAATGAAATGGTGGGAAATGAATTCTTTCCAAGGAGATGGGGCACAGCTTTTTCACAATGGAGCCTTCCCAGTCTGATAGTTTGGATTCAGAATATAAGATGAAAAAGATAGTAGAAAAGGATTGGCAGGATTGACTCTGAAAAGTCAAGGTAGGGACCGAAGACCAAACTGTCCTAGGCTCACAGGAATGGGGTGAGAGGAAGACAATGAATTCTAAAATCCAGTGATGTGGTGCCAGGCTAAGCACAAGGACCAATTATGGAATATCAATTATGGAATATCAGGAATATCAGGTGTGCCTGCCATTTGGTCCACATGTGTTGTAGGCTATCCTGAGGGTACTGTCCAGACTCTGGGAAAAGTAAGGAATCAACTCTTCACAAGGACAGAAGCTACTCCCTCAGTTTGGAAGGATCACTATTTTGATTTATGCAGTTGTACTAATTCTTATACAAAATGCCTTGCATCATGACAAAACTTGCTAAGCTCCAATAAAGGACTGAACAGAGGAGCCTCCATTTTTGGTTTGCTGGAAAGGGAAAGGATGTGGAGAAGGGTTCTTACAACAGACATTCATGGAAGCAAAAATGTCCACCACTTATTTCCTACAGTCTTGCTGGAGCTGCTATTCCATAACTACATTCACAGCACTCCTATCACACTTAAAGGCTTTCCTCCAGGTGAGAGGGGCTAATCAAGTGGGCCCAGTGTTCTGACTTCTGCTTCCAGCTTCTCTTTCCTTTCTTGCTTAGGTTGTTGTTTCAGCTCAGCCAGACCCAGCCCCTCAGCTGTAGCACTGAGTCCCCATGGCTATCTCAGTGATATCATACGAGAAAGCTGCTTGGTCTTGATACTCCTTGTTTGTTTCTGTCTGTTGGGAGTACCCAAACCCAGAGCCCAAAATGCCTTATCACGGAGCAGAAGTATGAAGTATGTGCATGTGTGTGTACCACACTTCCACCCCTACAATATCTTATACTTCTTTATATTTAATGGAACAAAGATTCATTATGCTTGAAAGCTTTTTCAAAAATAACTAATGACATCTGTTTATGGGCTTGTGATTTACTGAAGGTCTATTAATATAAACCATACAGCAGTGTTCATTTACGACAACTCTAATCTGTCTTTGCACCCAGATTTTAAATTGGATCATTTACTGAGCACATATAATAACTGGATTACATCTTACAGATCTGAATTGCTAGCCATGTAGTAACACACAATTCACCCAGTAGATAAAATAAATGTTTTTAATCTATGTAACATATTAATTTAGCAGTAGAATTAAGAAGCTTGTAATTACTAACTTCTATAATTTATGCTAAAGGATAAATGATCAGGTCTTCTAATCACTAGCCATGAGGCCTGTTTCTGCACAAGTCCAGAACTGAATGGGCCATAATTGTTACTAGGCCAGAAACAAAGGGACAGATTAAGGGTCATTAAATCATGTACCATGGACTTTAATTCATTATTACTATTGGTGTTTATGAATTGGCCTTTTGGAATGAAAACTATTCCAATTGTAATATGGAACGTAGAACATATCTTCATGGCTTTCTGTATAGGATCAGGCTACCAAGAAACAACTTGAGACTAGAATTCATACACAAGGAAAAGCATTTTAATTAGAAGGAAAAATTACTATAAATAGGTTTTGAACTAGGATATAATTGTGACAAAGGATGACCCAGGCATTCTTCCTACTGTGTTCAATGTGTGAGGAAAGAAAGGGAAAATCAGTGTGTTACTTGGTGGTGGAGGAATGTATGGATTGGAACAGGGCTCATAGAATTTGCTTAGCTTTTTACTAGAACCCCAAGATTTAGCTAAAGCGGGTACAATACATTGCTGAGAAGAATGGGAGCAGATACATATTTAGACTTAAAGAACACACACTTGGCACAAAAAGGGGGTTCTGCCTTAGAAACTGAGCTCACAGTCTTTTCACACAAAATCCCTACTTAACACCATCTCTCTCACTCTCACTTCCCCTTCCCAGTTTGAGGACTACCCTGTTCTCCTAAGCAAAGACTTTTTCTGTTGTTGCTGTTGTGAAACTGGGAGCCAGAAACCTGGCTTAGCCATTGCAAATAACAGTAGATCTCAGTCTAGGTTTTGCCAGACCTTGGACTTGAATATATACAAGCTAAGAGAAAGTAGGATGTGATGCTTTGACTGGGAGTCCAAGAGTTGGTTTTTGTTTTTGTTTTTTGAATGAACAAAGCGTGTTTTAAAACAGCTGTGCCAAGATTACACCCTAAATTCCAGGGTTAACATTTCCATTTGGAATTCAGAACACATACTGAAATAAACATGCAGTTAGATTCCAGTTTAATAATGCTAAGCACAGACTTTTTAAACAACGGTTCAAGTAAGCAAAGACTAAATCTCATGAATTTCAATTAGTCTGCTCTAGAAATGACTAAATCTGGATCCAACCTATATGACCCGAACAGTGAGTTTTTCAGTCATGAATAAGTTATAAGAGTAGGATTTTCCATCACCTGAAAAATACACTTGCACACATCTTGGAAGTAAGTCTTGGAATTCAAAAATATTTGGACTATATTGAAACATACTTTATATTTTAAAATGATATTGATAAACTATTTCATCCATTCACAACACACATACATGGTAGTTAAGAGACATTTACGTGTAGATAAAATGATTTTAAACTAGACCACTGTGAATACCAGAGTTATCTTCATCTTTACGAATTTTTAGCTTCACAAGATCTTCACAATGTTGTAGGATTTGAACAGCATCTTCCATAGAACAGTTGTCCAGTCGAATATTGTCTATGGCAAGCAATTTGTCACCTAGCTCTAATGTTCCAGTTCTGTTAACAAATGGAATACATTATGGGATTAACGACTTGACATACTGTTTGCACTGCTATTCATGCAAATGATTGTATTTATTTTTGAAAAAAAAGATTTTTATATCCATAGAGTAGTGGAGATTAAAAACACATTACTCCAATTGAGCAAGTGATTTAATCTGGAAACATGGATCAGTTCAAAATTCAGGGAATATGAAAATAGCCAACATTTTCTGCCAACTGGAAAGTGCTCACCTGTGTGCGACACTTCCCTTCTTAATATCTGAAATAACAAGAGGGTCCCCTGGTTTCCGACTAGATGGAGCTGAAATACACAGATATATACAATTGTAAATTTAAAATATATCTCCACACTACAAGTACTATTTCTAATTCATATTAACACATAGGCTTTTAGGTACTAGTGGATACTTAGAGTAATGAAACAGAGTGTTTGCTGATTTCCTGGGTGCTGTTACAGGGCAATTTGGCTTTTATGTGCTATACTTTTTACTGTGCCATACATCTGTTTTGTCCTGTGGATACTTATGTGGAATAGTTAGTTTTAATGGAGACATTACATTTAAAACAAAGATTTAGTAATATGTATGAAAAAGAACCTCTCATATTCCTAAACAAGTAACTTTGCCTAACTGAGTCATAACTCACATATTATCATAAATGTTTGCAAATAATAATAATAATGCAGATGGAAAACATAAATTTTGGGATTTATTTTCATTCTCTTGCAGGGACAGAGAATTAAATTATTTTCTTAAGCATCATGTCGGGTCAGCAGGGAAGACTTGCAGACTGGCCATTGCATGCTCTCTGTTACAAGAAGCCTCAGTATTGCAAATGTAAAGCAGCTTCCATTGCAAAGGGTTGTTTGAAATGGCATCCCTCGCCCTCTTCCTTTCCCTCAGCTTGTGAAAGAATATACTTCACAGACTATTCTTTCAAAAATACTCCATGCTTGCATTTAGGATAGCTCAACAGTTTCATTCATAAGATGTGCATTTGGAAGTCTAGTCTTGGTGCTTTCTCTGACTTACTCAGGGTCAATCCAAGACATTTTGCTTCTGGGGTTAAGCAGCAAATGTTGGCTACTTTAATATACAAAGATGTATAGTAACCAAGGCCAGCTAAGTTATTTTGGCACCAGAAGAATGCACAAGAGCTTCCCTTTCTTCCTGGCAGTAAAAACAGAACTGCTTCTACCATTTGCTGGTCTTTTATGACATCCCAACTCTTCCTGAGATAACTGGTTCAGTATGTTATTGGCAGGGCTATCCTTGGACTTATGAGGATAGTCCTACCAATGAGTGCATAGGATTCCAGCAATAGATACATATACGATCGATAAAAATTAAGTAACTGTCTAGAAAAGTGTAGTTACCTGGCAGTGCAGTACACTGAATACACTGGGACTTTCTTTCAAATAAAAACAGCTGGGATTTCACCATAAAAAACTCTTGCCTTTTCCCCCTAATATTTTTGGAGAGATGGTTTTATACTTTTACATGCCAAAAAGTATTATGGGCTTTTAAAACATTTTAACTGAAGCCATATGGGCTTTCTTTTATGGGTACTGAATATTTTAAGGGCACTGAATTCAAAGCCATATGGGGACTGAATATGAACCAGATCTTGCAAATATAGGTATGAAAATTACTGCATTCAGTGGCTACTAAAATTCTTTTCTATAGCTCATATGTAACTGCTTTGTTTTCATGAATATGTATTTTTTGCAGGAAACTATTATTTTAATATTATATTACTGCATACATCTTTCTTTTTGACATCTTTCAATATCTTTTTCAAAACAGTTGGCCATGATAAAGTAGCTCAAGTTATAAAAATTGATTTTTAAAAAATCTATATTGCATTTCTCTATTTAAAATCGATACAGCTAACAAATTAAATTAAATTAAATTAAATTAGAATTTCTTATATGTCCCAAAGGCTATACTCCTAAGTATTCTTGGGTAAAACCACTCTGTTTTAAATATAGTGACACTATATGTCTATTATCTTGTTCAAATGTTTTTGGTTGTTACAAAAGCAGGAACCTTTACTGAAAACCAGATTACAATCCTCAATGGGAACCTATTGCAATGAAATGGTAATATTGCTTTTAGTTTCAGTGTCTGCATAATAATTGATCAATACTTCAAGCCTAAAACATGTCCCAAATGGATATACCCAATGCTGTTCCATGCAGCATCTCAAAATTCTATGCAGCATCATGAATATACTGAAGCTGATGTGAAATTATTGTGCTCAGTGTTAAAAGGTAGAGGCTTTTCATCATATCCCTTCATTTTAATATCAAGAAACTGTGTTAAATGAAAGCTTCTTGGAAAATCTGTTTTGAAAGTTATGCTAGTAGCAATAAATGCTTTTCTTAATAGGTTATATTTCTGTTAAAATTCAGTTCAAAACAAGTTCACTGGAGAATACTGAAGGGTTAAGTGATCAGAGACAGCAGCAAAGAAAACTTGTGGGAGGCCATACAGTTCGAGTATTAGACTGGAACTTGGAATATCTGGGTTCTAGTCCTCCCTCAGCCATGAAGTTCAGTGGGTAACTTTGGGTCAGTAATGTACTTGTAGCTTAACTTACTTCACAGGGTTGTTGTAAGGATAAAATGAAAAAGAGGAGAACATTGCAAACTGCCTTGTTACCTTGCAACAAGTAGGTAAGCGGGGTACAAATGTAATAATAACAACAATGAACAAGATCATGAAGAGGAGAAGGAGGACCACCACGCTTGGACATTATATCTGCACTGAAGGCTGGAGGTCCCCACCCATGTTTTAGATCTTCATTTCTCATCACTTAATTCTTCTTCACAAAACAGCATGGATATCTGGTGAATATATTTATTGCCACACTCTGAACTTACATTTGTTTTGCCAGAATTGGTGTTTTTTTCATGTTTGCCATGCTGTTGCTATTTGCAAATCTCTCCTCCACCATGTTTCAAATGCACCATTTTTCTTCTTAAAAGTTTTCCTCACTGCCCAGCTATCACATCCACACACAGTGATCAGGAATGCTGTAGGTAAACTTGACCTTGGCCTTCAGTGAAATGGCCTTATACCCGTGAACTTGACAACTTCATAGCTGTCCTTTCAGATTTCAGCATTCTCCTAATTTCTTGGCTGCAGTCTTCTTTGGCACTGATGATTGAGCCAAGGCATGCAAAATCTTTCATTTTCACTTTCTTCACTGTTGACAGTAAAAATGTGTAATTCCTCTTTGTTAATGTTTTGCTTTTGCACTTCCTCCTTTCATTTTCATCAGGAGTCATTTCAATTCATTGTTGCTTTTTGACATATTGTTGGTATATTGTAGGTTATCAATGTATCTTTCACCAATTTTCCCTTTCCCTTTCTCTGATTCTAATACAGCTTTTCTTATAAAGTTCTGCATACAGCCCGAACAGATAGGAAGATAAAATACACCCTTGCCTGACACCTTTGCCTATGGGAAACCATTTTGTTTCTCTGTATTCTGTCCTGAGAGTATGTTCTTGTCCATGATACAGGTTGCATGTTACACTTCAAGATAATCAAGTGCAGAGGCACACTCATTTCTTCCAGCTTTTGTGATTCACAGACAAGATTGGCTCATCATGGGGTTTACAAGGTAAGATACATTCAGAAGTGGTTTACCATTGCCTTCTTCTGTAAAGTAACTTGAGCATCACTGCTCTAGTCTATGAGAGATCTTCTGCCAATGTCACTTTTAACTCTTCACTTCTCTGCTCCATCACTAATACAGATATCCACTCTCTTCTGCTAATGTGAATGCTACTCCTGAAGAGAGCAGATGCATCTTAGACTGATGACCATTCCCCTTTGGATGACCCTTTTAAGAGTCTCTCCCACAGTCTGGTCTCATGGTGGCATGACTCTTGACTTCTCAGACACTCTGAAACCTCCTCAGTAAAGGTGTGTATCAAGCTGGTGTGTATTTACTATAATGGGTGTTTTGTTTCAACACCACTACACTGTTGGACTGCAATACTTTTGGTAGTCTGGGGAACTGCGCTTCTGTAATTGTATTTTAAATAAGTATCATTCTTAATGATTATTCTTATTCTGGGGCCAGCAGATCTGAAGATCTGATGCCATTTCAGCATCCCAGCCTCCCACCCTGCCACTGCCACTCCACTGAATTTCACAGTAGAGGCCAAAAAGCAGACATCACCATTGAGTTTTGGTGGCAAACTGCTATGGAAGGGTAAAACAGTTGAAAGGCGACTGTTTTAGCTTTCCATGCTGCTCACCAAAATGTTGCTCACCTCTTTTCCAAATATATAATCTGGGCAAGCCATCCTATAAAGCAGGTACATCAGGAGGTAGAGTGGGAGGAATGGTTGACTGTGCTGCTCCACTCCAAGAGGCCCATCACTTTGGTCACTGCTTAATCACAGCATCTCCCCCAGTGGATGCTCTGCACTGCCTCACCAGCTGCTCTCCCACCATAGCATTTGCCACAGTGAGAGAATGGCTGGCAAGGTTCTCTGGGGCAGCCACTGGCCCTCTGTTTCCCTCGTCATACATCCCCTTATGTTTTCCACTATGAGAAGAAGTGACATGGCTTCATCTGGCTACACAGCCTTTCGTAGTGGAAAGGGTATGTGATATGACAGTTAGAAAGGGTTGTGAAGTACTACTGGAGCATGTTCTCTCTCCCATAGTAAGAGATCCCAGGTCATCCCATGAAGCTGATTAATGGGAGACGCAGGACAGATAAAAGAAAGCACTTCTTCCCAGAGGAGATAGTTAAACTATGGAATTCACTGCCACAGGTAGTGATGGAAACCAATTCAGATAGCTCTAAAAGGGAACTGGAGGAGATGACTATCAATGGTTACTGGCTTTGTTGGCTATGTACTACTTCCCTTATCAGAGGTGGCAAGAATTCCAAGTTTCACTACAAACAACAAATTGGATTCATACTTCATTTTAAAGGACCAGAGGTAGAAATAGTCAGAAACAATACTGATGGCAAATTTTAAAATGAAAACCTGTTTTTGCAAGCTTATCTTATCTCAGTGGGGCAAAAAGAAAAGAGAGTTTCAGATACAGAAATTTTACAAGAAACACAATGCAAGGACGAATAATTCTTTTTTAAAATGGATAATAATAAAATGTTCTGCCCTTTCCTATTGTTCTGCATTTTTATCTATATTAATATCCTGTGTCTGTAACTCTTTCTGCAGACAGATCTAAGACTGTAATTTTCTTCCAAATTTATTCCTTTCTAAAATATATATTTGACTATATTTATGATAAGAAATATATAATTATCACTAGAGCTCAAGAGAGCCTCATTTATATTAAATAAGTGACTCAGTTGTGGATTTTAACTTGAATCTTTGACTGTTTTAATTCACTGGATTGTCAAAAGCTCAGAGAAAGCAAAGCAAGGTGCAAAATATTTCTACAATAATTTTGTTAGTGTTAGTGAACACCAGATAAAATCAGGACAATATATAATGCAGAAAAGATAACAAAAAAGGAAAAATTACTTTTACTCACAGCTTATGGTGATGCCAAGCTCTACATTATGCTTCTTTGGTAGTTTTACATGAAAAGTGCCACTACTTGGGATGACAGATTCTAGAATTAAAAGTTGTTTCATTTATAGCACATGCCAGGCTGAACTACATTCATCACATTTTCATCATTCACACCTTACATGCATTAAAAATAATATAAAATTTTGAATCAAAGAAGCATAGCAAAGCAAATGCCGTAATATGTTTTATGTTAGCAATTTAAAATTTCAATTTGTGAGTCACATGGCATGCTCCTTACCATGAAATATATGGAAATATGTGGAACACCCAAATTGAGGGGTGGTAATACATATAGCCCACCATTCCATAGTCAACCCCCACCAAAAGTATCTTTTAAAGAAAAATAGTGTTGTCTATTGCACCATGGAATGCCAAAAAGTCAAATTAGCTTATTTGCTAACTAAATGATAATTCGCTAACTCATTTGGGCTCTAGCTTTGTGTCCCTGCACCATAAGCACATCTCTGCTCACACCAGGTATATTGCTCCTTAGCATTCCAGTTATCTTTCAGTCATTTGGAGGTTATTTTATATTTTAATAAGGCAACATGTATTTTATGTGGATTGAGAATAAGTCTCATGATTCATTTGCCAGCTTGCAAAATTTACATTTTGCTGTCTGGTCACATACATATTATGTCCCAAAATTTATCCACATTTCAGTATGAATATAAAGTTCCAAAAAAGGAGGAACATGGCTGTAATAAGATACTGAAACATGACAGGGTCGTGTAAGCATATAGGCTAGATTTAAAAAATGAAGGGTTTAACTTCTAGCATTTTAGTATGACAAGGTACTTCAGTATCCATACCTGCTACATCAAATTCTATCTCCAAAGTGACCTTGCTGGTGATAGATGAATCTCTGAGTAGCTGATTAGCTTCATCAAATGTGCTGTCTTCTGTTGGGATGCCATTTATAGCCAGTACTCTGTCTCCAATCTGTAGGATTCCACACCTTGACATTCAGCAGAACAAGACATTTGGACATATATTTAATTCATCCTTTCCAAAAGATATAACAAACTTAACTTGATTGACTTTATAAGCCTGCTGAGTTGTCGTGGCTGAAGATTTGCAATAGTAATTGACTTTTATTCTTCATGTAACCATGTTGTTCTCAAGCATTTAATATAAGCACATTTGAACTGTATTGATGATAAAAGCAATAATCTGAAGTTCCAGTCTCTTAAAGACTTTATTTGATCTCTATTAAAACTAAGAAAAGTTTGAAGTACCTTCTGCCAGTCTAGAATACAAAATATTGAAGTCTTTGAAAGAGCTTTATAAATTCCATTAGGAAAATACTCTCCAATTAACATAGCCCACAATTGCCTGTCAGAGGCAATCATCTAGATAAAGGCATTGGTGCTTGTTATTCTTCTCATATGTTATCAAGAGCCTAAAAAATTCCATGTTGTCAGAACAGGAAGTTCACATTGCATGCTATATTTTTCTATGAGCAGTGTTCAATAATTTATCAGAAACCTGAAAATAACTAGCGATTTAAAAAAGCCAGAGATATTTGTCAACAATAAACATTTAAGAGTAATCATTTCAAAGGCCCTCACCTTTCTGCTGGACTGTCAACCTCAATGTAGGAAACAAGAGGTGGAGATGACAAGGTCTCTGTAGCAAACACACTACCCTGAAGCTGTATCCCAAATCCCACAATCGGGTCAGCTGTCAGCACTACTTCTGTAGTTTCTGTGTGGACGACCTGCCCAGCCAGGCCAACAGTGCTAGAGGCGAGTGACACTATAAAATACATCAGACCAGACTTTCAGAACTAGATGGTATAAATCAAGTCACTTGCTGACACAAATACTACCAATGTATCAAATATATTGAAATATTATCATCAGTTTCTCTTACACTTAATGTTCAGGATCAGCACAGTGAGTAATAAAACACATCTTTTTTACTCATTTCTTTAATGAACACCAGCCTTCCCAACCTCTGGATATGATGGACTTTCATTATCACCCTGTGGAAAGTAGGAGTTCTAGTTCAACATATATCAGATATAGATGGGGAAGGATCTAGAGCTCTATTGAATTCTCCAGAAACCAACCAGTATTTAATGACAACTGAGCAATTCTTTCTGCCTCTCAGCATCTGCACAGTCCACTTGATGCCCTTACAAAGAGCACAGCATGATGGGAAGGGAAGCAAACAATAAAAGCACTGTTCTTTTTAGAGCCGTTAATGTAGCTTGAAGACTGATTAGCAGGTTCAGGCTGCTGTTGATTCAATAAGTGCTTCAACGGCAGATCTGATTTTGGAACATGAAAAGAAAATCTAGGAACAACCCCAAGAACTAATGACTAGGTCCGTGCATGTGTGAACGCATTGAGGGCTAAAGTAATCTCAGTTCAGTGGATTCCTGATTGTTCTAGGATGATGCAAAGGAGTGCATTTAAGGGAAATGTTACTGAGAAAACATTTCAAATTCAAGAGCTGTGCTGTCCTCAGATTTCAGCATTTCATAATATATAACCTTTAGTATTTTCAGAATGGAGATATTTAATTTGCCCACATTTTGCTTCCACAATTTCAGAATGCTATGAATACCCTAAGAAAACATTAGTCAAGTTACTCTAAGCCTTTGCTTTAGAGAAATTTGTTCCTAAATCATTGTTGTTAAACTACCCAGAGAGCTTCAGTTACTGGGCAGTATAAAAATTAAATAACTCATGAATATTAATATTATTAAAAAGTTAATACATACATTAATCACTGAAGTATTTGTTTTAGATACCAAAGGTTGTTTTACATCCAATTTAGCTCCAGTGCATGAGAGAGCAAGATCATGAAGCAATGTATGAAGCACTCATAACTTTCTTGAGACCACTGTCTTGAGGGGAAGAAAATTGTATATTAATCCATCTTGGATTCAGGCTACCAGAGAGACTAACTTCTCCTATTGAAGACTCTCTAGTTCTTAAGATACTCTGGAGAGGCCCATCTTTCAAGAGCCCTGCCTTCAGAGACCCATTTGGTGTGATGCCAGCAAGGTCCTCCGGGTAGCCACTCCCAAGCTGTGGGAGCTTCATCCCAAGGGAAGCTAGCCTTGCTGTCCTTCAACTGGCAAGCACAGACATTTTATTCAAGGAGGTCTTTTGACTGCTAAGTGAGTATGTTGGCTTGTGTGCGTTTTAATTTTATTCTGCATTTGTGGTTTTCATTTTTTGTTTTGTTTTAGTTTGTTTTATTGTCTGAATTCTGTCCCAACATGCAGCCTTGAGTGCCATTCTTTGGTATAAAGGTGATGTACAAATGTAATGAATAAATATTGCTTAACTGATATGGCTGACAAAACAAGTTGAATCTTCTATTTCATGGGATAAAGCAAAAAATAAAAAAATACTTCTACTATAACAAAATTGATAGTTGCCAAATCATGGCCAATATTAATAATCTGTTGGTGCCAACTGACAGAATTTTTTTAAAAATTAGTCATTTCATTAAGCATGGCATAAACTTAGGAATATTCATATTCATGTTTGTATTATCTACCTGTCAAGTACAGTGTTAAGATGTGTGTGTGTGTGTGTGCGCGCGCGCGCAGGCATAGGCTTGCCAAGCCAGTAACAAACTACGGTGCTTCTCTTCTTGAAGAACATACTTGAAACATTAAAAACCAAGAGGTGATTAGAAAAGAAAATAAACAAAGCAAAATCAAGTACAATGAACAGTATGTGACAGAGTGGGACATCTTTAAAGTTTACGGCTGTTTGTTTGGAGCAACCTGCATAAGTAATGCAGTCACTGCAAATTTTCTGTTAATAAAATGTTTATGGATTTGCTGCACCAGCAGAGTTTACTGCCAGGCATTTGGAAAGACCACATTAGTTATACAGGTTTTTCTACAGAAAAGGAAATGAAAACTTTATAGCACCCTTCAGTCATACATATTCTAAACTCTCCTAAGGCAGGTAGATTTAGGAAAATGTGCTTTTCTTATGTGTCCTGTGGGTAACTCGTTACCATATCCAGCCTTGCATAGACTATAGAAAGAAAGAGGGTATGTGCAAGAAATAATTTGTGTAAATGATGATGAAGATGATGATTGTGTCAAATAAATCCATGAAGTGGTATCACAGGAATCTTCAAGCTTTCACTTAGCAGATGAAAATGCCTATTTGACATTTCCAGTAAAGAGAATATCCTGTGACTTCTAGACACTGTCTGGGAGGTGGAGCCAGAGGATATTTTGGATTCCTGGATCCAAGACTGGGGCCAGAGTGCCAGTCTTGGAGCTGGGAATCTGTGCTCTAATCTCCTTATCACCACCACAGAAAGAACAGAAGCACCTGCTTCCTCTAGGTCACGAACCAAACTTCAGAGAATTGCTAAAGGGGCATTCTGATGTTGGGAAGTGGAAGAGAGAATGCATCTTGTGTCCTCTGCAGCCTTCTAGCTGAATATGGCCATCTAGCAGAAATGCAGAGCAGGAGGAATAGAGCCGTGAACACCACCTCTGCTACTGCTTCTGTTCCTCACAGGTTTCCTGTAATCCTCAGAGCTCAGAGGCTTCTGAGTGTCAAAACTGGACTGCATCCTATGAAGAGCAGACTATAGACCACCTCAGTGTTTTGTTCTAGCTTGAAGAACATTGCAAATTAAAAGCAAGCCCAAAAATAAATCCCTTCCTACCAATGTTTGGATGTTTTTAAGCATGGAAAAATTTATTGTCCTAAGCTTCTTTACTGTTTTTTCTAGCAAGCATTTTCTCCTTCTCAGCTGCAGTAAAAAGGAACAAGGAAGTCAAAGTAGATTTTAGGAAAATTTTGCTTTCTTTTCTAACTTTTAATGAACAGCTTATTTTAATGTTTTTAATGGCAAATGCTATCATTCTTGTGTGACACCAGTTAAGTAGGCTGTTGTTACTTTTAAATAAAATGAGGCAAACTATTCCTAATTATGCCTATTTATAAGCAGTAGTGCAAAATATGCTTTGCAATCATTATTGCATTAATGTGCAAGAACACTGTGAAGAGGTTTGCTGTGGCTGCAAAATAATTTAATTAATTTGGATTTGGATTTGAACCAAGAAGTTTCAGGAAAAAAACCATTCCTGTCTACCCAGGACTAACATCAATAGCAACAAAATGCCTATGCACCAATGCAATGTGGCTTGCTTATCATTATGCTTATCAGAATACTGTGTGCTACATAGCCACATATTAACTACAGTGTTGTAATTGTTCCATTTCCCCCCCAAAATGAAGCTTCAAGATATGTGGGGATAGATTCTGAGTCAGAAGAGGAGGAGGCAGTGGAATCTGCTGCTGAAGTGCCATGGCCAGAGAACTTTGAGATAAGCGGGGCAGTCAATAAGAATCAGTCAGTTTTCAATAGTTTAAGAAAGCTTATTGAGAGTGTTAATGAGGCAGAGAATGGATCAAATGCCATTGATTCCAGGGTCTAGAAGCGAGTAAAGAGTGACGGAGAACAGTTGAGAAGCATCAGACCTTCCAAACAATTGGACCCCAAGCAGGAAGATCTGCTTTGTTTGTTGTTCAGTCATTGTAATTTGGAAAAGAAACCAGTTTGGAAAAGAAACTAGCTGCTTTTCTCTAATAGTGCTCTAACTTCACCTGTTTCTTTTGTTACTGATTTCTGCAGTTCTTGTCATTTGCTCTCATCATTAATGCCAGTCCCACTAGTCAGCATTAATGTAATAAAGCCTTTCCATTAGAAAGCCATTGTCTAAGTGTGTTTGGAAGAAGACAGAACCTGCTGGGACACATAATCCCAAACCCCCACAACAGAAATGGCAAGATACACTCATTCAGGATGGGATCCCATGCAACTTTAGTCTAAGTGCAAAGCACTTCTGCTTGTGCAAGAGGTTTGCTCTCCATTTCTGCCGTTCCCATCTGTTACAGCACTCTGCATTTATTCACTTATTTACCATATTTCTATAGTATCCCATAGCCAAAGTTATCTGGATGATTTCCAGAATCCCCAAAGACAGCATGATAAATATAAAACCTTTAGAAGTTAAAACACAGTGAAATCCAAGGCTAAAATACCACAGTAATAGAAACATTTGAAAATACAGTAATCCATTTAAAAACAAACCAAAGGATTAGAAAGTGTGGGGAAAGAAAAAAGTCTTCACCTGGCATCAAAAAAGAGCAGAATATACTAGACAGCTGGGTGTCTTTATGGAGATCATTCAACAATAGCAGTGCTACCACTTAAAAGGCCCTTCTCTTGGTAGACAGTTGGTTTACCTCATTTAGCAAGGGCATTTATCCTCATTTAGAAGACATGCTCTGAGTCTGGACAGGTATATATGAGAGGAGACAATGCTTCAAGTAACCTGCCCCCAAGCCATTCAGTACTTAAGAGTTAAGTTGCTCAGCGTTGGTTGCTCAGTAAAATGAAACAGTACTGTTATGTCCAGTTATTCACAGCAGGTAAACAACTGACTGCCAATAATCCTTATAACAGTGTTCAGATTTCAGAATATCTTTACTGCCAGTTCAACTCCAAACAAATCCAAATTGTGGTACACTTTCAGGTCATTTGCCAGATCCACGTCACAGCCCTTTTTCAATACAAAAAACTACTGTGGTCACCTACATGAGCTCTTGAAGTCCTTCTTTTTCATCCTCCTCCTCATCATTGTTCCACGTGGACTTGTGGAATAGAGGCTGCGAGGTAAAGTCCCCATGTTTAGTGAGCTCAGGCTGTATGCACTCATGGAGGCCGGAGAGAAGGATGAAGATACCAGCGCTGTGGAAAAAGTGGGAAACATTTGGCACAAGGTACTCTTAGGAGAAGTGAAATCCATGTATGTCATTGGTTGTGAAAATCTGGGCACTGTGTAGAACCCACATGAATGTTTTGTATGCATCCAGTAACAAAATCATAAACTATATAAAACCTACATATAAAGCTACATAAAAACTACATTAAAAAGTGGCAGTGTAGTCAGGCATTTTAGGATTGTGTGAATTATACAAAATAAATACATATTTGCTTGTATAAATATATAGAAGGAGTAAACCTATTCCTATTATGGTTATTTCCCTCTAAGTAAGTAACTGACATTTATGACATGAACGTAACACATTTCTTAAAAATACATAGCTATGTGAATCAATGCACATCAATGTGATTAGACACACTGAATCTAGCAATGCATTCTTTGGAAAAGGTGATTTCTGACATAGGCTTTGTATGGAAAGCTTTACATTCTCTACAAGGTCCTAAACTGGATGACAATGCATACAGGATTGGAAAAAATGGATCCCTCAAGAGGATTTTTAAAAATACCTTTTTCTCTATATACTAAAAAAGACTAGATAAGTTAAAGCATGAAAAAGACATGATGTCAGAAATAACCTCAAATGGTTGTGGCAAAAGTGAGACATTGGTAGAACAGAAAGGTTTCAGAGTGAAATTGGAGAAAATGAGAGGAAAAGAATCAGGCGTAAATAATAAAAAAGAAGATGAAGTTGATGATAATAATAATAATAATAAAAAAATAGTAATGTCAGGAAGAAAAAGCATGGAACATTACGAAGGTTTTTTTGAGGAGGCGTTTTCTGGCATTTCAGAGCTGGCATCCTGCAATGGTCAGGGTGGTAGGTGTTATAATGGTGATAGGTGAGGGCCCCGCTGTGGCTGTTGGCATAGGGATTCCACATAAGTTGCCTGGTGCTCCTTTGAACCTTCACTGCCCACATGAAGGGATGAGAGGAAGCAACACAAACACAAACAAAAAAGGACCAGAGAAGAGGGAAAGGTAACTGGATTACATAAATGAATTTAAAAGTATCAAAAAATGAAAGCAGTTCAAAAAGAAAAAAAAAAACAACCCTGCTTCTTTCTTGGTGGTCAGCAAAGGCAAGAATTTATTTCAAAGATAACAACCTTTCACTGTCCCAAAATGAATGTGTTCAATGCCTTTTAAAAAACTGGTCAGTACTCAATCAATTTTTAATCTGCCTCTGTCTTTAGCTTCTATGATTAAACCCTTTAGAAGAACACATTTAAGTCAACATTACTACGATGCATGATATACAATTAGTAATTAAGTTCTGAATATATATACGCATCTTAAAATATTTGTATATGTTTTTTTAATCCCAAATCAAATAAAGCGCCATATATCACATTCCGCACAGTAATTCTGGGTGGTTTATATGTCAGTCATTCCAATTTACTGCTCTGACATTTTAATTTTACTAGCATCCATCACTGGCACGATATTATCCTGGGCAATGAACTCCCATCTCTTAAGCATCAGCACAAAAATTCCATTTCAGGGAATTTATTAATAAAGATAAAGCAGAAATCTAAGGTCATTATTTATTCTTCTAAAATGTGATTTCCCCCACCCCTTATTTTTATTCACTACAAGAAATCCAGCCTATTTCCTCTCATAGGCAGTTTTCTGTCAGATACAACTTAAATTAGGCACGGTTAAAAATGGTTCAAAATAGAAGAGGAAAGTATTTTCAATTTATCAGTAAATGGTACACTCTTCCAGAAGAATGGAGAAAATTATAAATGGCCTTCTTAGACCACCATGCACTGTATCAGTGAAGACTTGTGGCACAGCATATCCATACCAAACAAGATGAAAAATAGATTTGTTTGGACTTTAATTTCTTTGTCTATACCAGTATATTAATGACATAGGAGGGGAAACCCTATATTTTGTTTTTGGAACATCGCAGTTGAGATAAACTTAGAGATAAAATTAAAGATATTTCTGCAGTAACAAAAATATTAAATGCTTCTAACACTTAATAGAAGGTGACAATTAATAGAACTGGCCGGCACAGACGCGTCCTTTACCATGAAAAGAAGGAAGGAAGGAAAGGGAAAACAAGTGTTATAAAAATCATCAATTAATATAAAAAATTGTCTTTTAAAAGTGTTTCATCCTTGTAAACCGCCCAGAGAACTTTGGCAACTGGTGGTACAGAAGTGTAATAAATGAAAAATGAAACACGTGCCCTGTGACAACTCATCATTCATATGCAAAGATCCCATTCTGCATGTAGAAAGTGTCTTCTATTCTTGGAGGGGAGGGATTTACTGTTTACAATGGAATGGTGTCATTTGCCGCATCCCCCGCCCCACGGATTCTGAGGCCTCTAATTCCAAGCCCCTTATAATGGGAAAAGATCATGTTGGGGCTCTGTGAGTTCTTGCATCTGGCAAGAGCAAATATTGTCCTAGAACTGCATCTGCCAGTGTATCATGATGCGTGCTGCTTGCCCCTTTCCTGGCCCCAAAGCAAAATCCGTGGTCTCTGCGCATGAGGAAGGGAGAAGTGGTAGAGATGAGCATTTCATGAATGTTTGTACTGTGTACTTGCAAAAGGTTCAAGAATTTTGAGGCTAATTCCTCCTGAGTTCTAATACATTAATGCTCATTAAATGCGCGGTGATTTTTAAAGCAATGATCTAGCATTTTAACTGTTGTGGCTATTTGACAGCGAGGCTTTTTCTAAAGAGTCTTGGGTTATTAGAAGTGCAAGTGCGGCCTGCAGTGTGGAGTGACCCAGCCTCAGGATTCCCACCAGCCACTCATGCTCCTTTCCAAGTTAGTCCATTCCATTCTCTCCCCAAACTTGGGTTTTCATTTTTCTTTTTCCACTGACACTCAACATTCCACTCAGACTGAACATGCTTAGTTGTCACTGGTATTGCAAGTGGGGCATGCTGTCCCTTCACAACTGCAGCTCCTGAACAGGTCTATGATTTCCTTGTGTGATAAGCAAAATGATGCCATCTGGTCCTGGATCCTTGAACATCAATGTGTGTTCTTTGTGAGAAACAAGAGAACTGATTCGTGCCCTCACATGTGACATTTTCTTTGTTCTTACTGGTCAAGTTTTGGCAGGAGCTTGGCTGTTCCTATTGAAAATGATTAGTTAGCTCTGTCGCATAGATTATACTCAGCCCTAAAGATTTTCTTAATTAATTAAGGAATTAATACATACATTATCACTGCCTTTGGCAGTAAAATCTGTCATTAATTCTTATAGTCCAGGATGGCTAATCCATCCTGGGTTAATTAATTCTTATAGTCCAGGATGGCTAACCCAGCACTACGCCTGCTAGTGAGAAAGAAAATACAAATGTTGCTTGAGCAAATTTAATTCGGGCTTCCTCATGTAAACCAAATAATCCAATCCTGAAGACTGTTTTGTTTAAAATGAAGTATGTGTGCATGGTCTCAAAACTTGATGCTGAACTAATAGGTAATAGTAGGCGTGAAATTCTGTATTCAACCCTAACCCAACTACACATAGCTACAATGTTTATTGTTTATATAGACACAGTAAATAGGTAGTCAGTGATTTTTCTGTGAGGTTCAAGATAAAACAAAATGATCTGAAAATCTTTGGAACAGATTTCATAATTATCTCTCAGACACAATCAGACTCAAAACTGATTTGTTCTTGTAAAAAACATTTAGTCCCTCTTAAATTTCATTAGATTCACATCCCAAAAGTATTTATTGGAAATAAGTGTCATTGAAATCTAAGAGTAGTTCTGACTAATTATGATGAGGACTGGGGGAAAGAACCCAGCAAGCACACTTAAGATGGCTTGAAATTGCTTCAATATTCATTTTCTAGTCTTCTGCCACACTTCAACCAGGGATGAAGTCTGCTGCAGAACTCTAAGTCTCCATACCGTGCTCTGGTCCCTTAAGAGCCAGCCGTGTCTGATGGTGAGGAAGGATCTCTAGTTTGACATTGTCAGAGGTGTTAGCTAAGAACTGTGTCGCTTCTGCCAATGTACAGTACTCCATGCTGGTGCCGTCAATGGAGAGAATATGATCTCCCACATGTAATGCGCCGCACCTACGAAAAAAGGAAAGGAAACAGGTCAAAATAGTTCTGTGTGCTCTTTGCTTGGAGTATCAGTTTTAATTATTTCCTTGAAAGTGTCATCTGTCTTAAATTAAATTCTCTTCATAAGAGCAACTTCATCATATAAAATTTACAGAGTTAAAAGATTATACTGCATTATTGATTAGGTTACTGGAGTGTTTTGCTAAAAGCCAATACAGTTAAAAAAGACAACTGAGATATCAGTCACATAACTTGAATAGCCTCACATTGACATGGATGAGTAGCAGAACAAATGGGAACAATTTAGCTTAAGGAGGCAACTCCTTCAGATCATAATTTGGTGAATTGCTTGAAAACTGGGCATTTATTTGTAAAATTGCTAGAATGGTGACAAAATAGGCGCTAATCATGAAACTGCTCATGACAACTAGATAAGGCTAGGTGAGTGATAATGACTGGACACCATGGGAGTGGAAAGGCCTAGATTGGGGCAGGATGGGGTCTCTAGTAGCATTTTGAGTTGCACGGGAACTATCCATGGTGCTGAACTTCATCCCTCAACGAGGCTTAACACCATGAAGCATGATGGAGAAATCCTATTCCCATAATTCTCAAAATAATAGTTGCATTGGAAAAAGAGCTCCACTGACACAGGAGTTGCCAGTCTCCCTGGCTAGACTGTGACATTTTGCAAAACAAGAATAAAATAAATATGTGATGAGGGGAAACAGACAACCACACCCTCCCTCTCCTTTTTTGTCAACCTGTACATAAGGAGGGAAACTCAAATACTTTGACCACCTAATGAGAAGGAACGGCTCACTGGAGAAGACCCAGATGCTGGGAACGACTGACGGCAAAAGGAGAAGGGGACGGCAGAAGATGAGGTGGCTAGATGGGGTCACTGGGGTGGTGGGTGTGGGCTTGGATGGACTCCGAGGAATGGTGGAGGACAGGAGAGCCTGGAGGAATGTTGTCCATGGGGCTGTGATGGGTCAGGCATGACTTTGCGACTAAGCAACAACAAAACAACATAAGGAGGGCAACTTTCTGAAGGAACTGCAGGGGATTTTGCATGATTTCTAATGCCGGAAGTTCACGTTTGGAATCACATGGAAAGTTTCTACTCCATGTGATTCAGGAAGTTTGTCCTTCAGAAAATCTCAAACTTATGTGTAGAAGACAGTGAAATAATAATGGATGTTTGTATGTGGGGAGGGGGGTGGGAGGGAAGTGATGCGTGCTGGTTCCACTTTCTTACGCATTTATTTATTTCCAAAATTACTGAATGGGGCTAGACAAAAAGAGCCCCACAGAACTGCAGGCTTACTGGAACAGATAGGCCTGATCTGCATGACCTTTGAGAAAAATGTAATTACAAACAATGACACTAAAGGCCATACTGGAAAGAAAACTGTACACATGTGGTCATTTTAAAATATTATATCCTGCAGTGTAAGTTCTGGGGAACAGACATTTGAGGCAGACAATTTACCTGAGCAGACAATATGGGGCACCATTACTAACCAGGAATTTCACGTGCACAATGTTCATTTAAATGGCTCACTGAATGGAATTTGCACAAAGGAGAGTAGCTTTGCAAAATACCCTTTCCTTTAAATGGTAGTACGAGAGAAAATGACGGCTGTTTGACCTGGTTCCTCCCCACCTACTTTTCTTTTTTAAGGTGCAGTTAAATATTCACTATTTTCCAAAGAACTTTAAAAATGAATTTGCTCACAGAATACAAAATAAACTGGCATTAAAAACACAGAAGCCAGTCTCTTTTCTCTCTCTTTGATATTGTGAGATACAACAGAATGCAGGTAGGGGTTGTTGCAAATCTAATGAGCGTCGATTTCCCATGCTGTAAGACCAAACAATGGCTAATTCCTAAATGTTGTTCAAGACTGAGAAATGTGATATACGGTACAACTTACTCTATTTCAAAATGTTAATCACTCTGAAATATTACTTTAAACAAGTAATCAGTGTAAATTTCCAAGTAACCGAGTGGCAAAACTTTTTTTTTAAATATGAGATGAGACACCATGTCTTTATTATATGCACTGGATTGGTTCCCCTCTCTGTATCCCTGCAGTTGGGAAAATGCCCAGAGGTGGTATGAAATGTCACATGAACAACTGCCAAAACCTGTGGAGTGGAGAGAGCTTGCAAGACGGGAAGCTACTTCCTGTTCATGTAACACCTTTGGATCACAGTGGAGGGACCCATGGCCCTTCAAATATTGGTGGACTGCTACTCCCATTAGCCACAGTCAGCAAAGCAACTACTGAGGGACAGCGGCAGCTGTACTCCAATAATAATGGACTACTATAATGTCTGGAAGTAACGTGTTTCCCAACCCCGATATAATCCTACTTATTTTGCCTACGTTTTTAATTGTTTTACCTCCTCTTCTGTATCCATCACTTTTCTAGATTGTAAATCTACAGGCCTGATTTAACTGATTCCTTTGTAAGAGCCTTTTGACTGAGAAGTACAATACAAATTGTTTGAATAAATAATAGGCTACCATCCAGCAACCATGCAGGGCACTGTTCACTGTCCGAATTGGTCCCTTGAGTGACAATCTTTGCCTTCTTATGCTGTATGCAGATGGATGGCATAGCATGGTAGATTCTTTTGCAATACTCACCTGTCTGCAATACTTGCAGATTTTATTTTGTCTATGACAATTACTTGTTTGCTGCAGCACATCGAGGTAGATAGTGCAACTCCCAGAGCAGAACCAGCTGTTTTGGCAACTTCAACAAGCAGTGGCCCTGAAGCAGTGGCTACTGAATCTGTAAAAAGAAAAGATAAAGCATCATAATTATATATTTCTTTAATTTTAAAGCCCTTCATTAGTGAAATCCTTAGTGAAACTAATTCTCCTTCCCCCAACCATTTCTAAATGATTACTGTGCACTTAAACAAAAGGTATTAAAGACAGGGGTTGGTCCTTGGTCACACTGATTTTATAAGGTCTGGATTATATAAGAATATAAGAAAATAAGAAGAGCCATGCTTGATCAGACCAAGATCTATCTAGTTCAGCATTCTGTTCAAACAGTGCCCAAACCACTGCCTACAGGTTCTCCATTATTTTATACTTAAAGACATACTGACTCTGATACTGGAAGTAACATATAGCCAGTCAGGACTAGTAAACATCGATAGCTTTCTGTAAATTTGTCCAATTCCCTTTTAAAATCATCCAAACTGCAGCCATCTTGTAGACGTGAGTTCTATAGTTAACTACATGCCAGGTGAAGAAGTGGTTCCTTTTATCTGACCTGAAGGTCTCACCAATCAGCTTTATGGAATGACCATGGATGCTAATATGCAAGAGGAAGAAAAATGTCTCCTAATTCATACCTTGTATAATTTTGTACACTTACATCATGTCTTCGTCTATTTACCACTTTTCTAAGCTAAACAGAGACCTTTCCTCATAAAGGGGTTGCTTGAGCCCCAGTCATTTTCTGCACAGGTGTAATGAACACAATCGCATACAGTAGTCCAAGAACTGTCACACTACACATTTGTTTAAGAGTAGTATGATAATGGCAGTTTTACTTTTAATTCCTTTCCTATGTCTATCAGTCACTACACACTGGATCAACATTTTCATTGATAATGCATTGATTTCATTCATTTTCACAAGCCCAAGAGCCTTATACTCATTTTCATTGAAACACATTTGCTCTTTTGATTTCCATTCTCCGAGGCTGAAAAGAAACCTTTGGAGCTTTCCACAGTCCCTGGGTCATCTGGTATCCTCTGCAAATTTGGCTACTCCTAATCCCAGATCATTTATGAATATACTGAATATATTGCAGGCATTGGTTACATCCCCCCATTGGGAAAATCTACAATATATTCCTGGCCTTTGCTTCCTGCTCTTTAACTGATACTGATCCATAAGAAGTCCTCTCCTCTTATTCCATGACTGCTGTTTGCTTGGGCCTCTTCAGCGAGAGACTTTATCAAAGGACTTTTGAAAATTCAGGTAAGCTAATGAAACATGATACTTAAAAATGGCCTCAGTGCTAGGAATGAGGCATGAGAAGTATGAATGAGCTTAGCTTTGCTAGGACTTATGTAATGCCACACTCAGACACCAGTTTTACCATGCCTTTGTTGCAATTAACCTTGGAGCACTAAAGCTCAAGCAGTAGCAATCAGTGTGCTCTGTGCGATATCTCTTGCTTTGGACTGTGCCAATTGCTATGATCCTGTTAGCCCCCTGTGTGCTGTTTGGACCAGCAGCAATGAGCGCGGAGAAAAGCATAATAACTGTGAAGCATGCATGTGCTAGGCATGCTGAATCAGCATATCAGACACTTGCAAAGCCAGCCATCTGGCATCAGTAGACTGGAAACTTACACACAGGGTATAACAATCCGGCTTCAACGATCCCCAAGGGCTAAACTATGTATTATTTTTTCACACTTTTAGGCAGCACTGTTAAACTAGCTGGTTTCATTTTGAAAAAGCAACTGCAGGGTGCTGAACGGAAGCATGCTCCTGATTTGGATTAGGGTCCTGCCCCAATCCTGTCCCGAAAGTGCTGATTACTGTGAACAGCCCCTTTGGAGCAAACAGCAGTGGGTGGCAGTGGGGAAAGAAACTGGCAGAGATCTCCCATGTGGATAGATAAAATGTTTCAGACCACACAGCTGCTTTCTATTCAAAATAAAAGTGGCAGGTCTCAGCATGCTTTTTACCAACTGTGAACAATGCAACCCAGCCATCTCTGAAGTGATGCTAGGCCATGCTGGGTATATGGTCCTATATTTCTGGCAGATACCTGGTGGGAGAAGGCTGACAACATGAGCAGCTTGGCCTTTAGCCTGTGTATAGACCTTTGATTGTGCAGCAGTGATGAAAACTTGCTTCTTACCCTTACAAGGGCTCTAAGCCCTGTTCTTCTCATGGGTTTGATAAAACAGAAGTGAAGAAAAACAAGGAGAATCATGCTTTAGAGTGAAAGGTGCAGCCTTAAGATAACTGAGAAACACCATAGCGAGATAGCTGAGAAACGGTTAAAATGTGCTAGGATAAGTATTCTGTTGTCTATGAGAACGATCCAGGACCCCAATCTAGGCAAACAAGGAGAACAAACCTAATGACTATGCTAGGAAAAGCAGAAGACAAGAGGCCACCTTAGAAAAATAAACACAAGAAAGAAAACTCAGAAAACAATGATCAATTGTACCTCCCTTGACAGAGACAGATTAGTTTATCATGTGCAAGTAAAAAGCGTGAGTATGAAAAATGAATCATGCAGAGATAAATTATTCATGTGTAAAAGATGTTTCAGCCATTAAGATATTTACACCATGACTAAAGCACTTACACACTGTGTTGATTTATTGGCTATGTAATTACATAAGATATGCTGGTGAATATTTGCATGGAAAACACTCCTAGATTTTTATTTCGTTGATAAGTTTTCCCACTTCTGAACATTGTGCCTCAATCAGTACACAAGGCTTGATTAAACCTCCCAGAGGCACCAGCATTACTTTCCACATGCTAAGAACAACATTCGCTTCTTCAGCTGAATGAAGCACCTTTCCCATTAACAAATACAAACCATAACAATGTGGATGGAGGAGGGGGAGAACATCTTTTAACAGCCCACATAAAAGGGAATTGGTGGGAAGATTTGGTCTGTAAGAATCCAAACCAAGTCAAGGCACTCTGTCCCTCTCAAACACTCACAAAATACTATGAAAGGTTTTCTTAAGGCAGTACATGATGAGCTTTCATCAGCATACTTAAAACTATGTTTCAAGTTAAATATATTCCATGGGTTTTATTACTGCACACAGATGTCAGAGGTGACGGATTTAGACATTTAAGTAACAGGTAGATGTCAAAGAACACACTGGCATCTTCAACCCTAAATTTATTAATTTCACTGAATTGCATTCACTTTAGTAACTAAAACTGACACCCAATCGTTTTATTGTTTCATGAACTAGGTGGTTACATTTTCCACTATATATTTAAAAGCCAAAATATCTTGGATGTGTGCAAAAAGCTGCAGTTAGGTCAAAGCAGTCTGCACATGCTTAAAGGCATTCTTCTTCATAATTGTACTGCATGTTCAAGTCATGTCATCTAAAACCACTCATTTAAAAAAAAACACCAATTCTCTGTCCACTGGATCTATATCAGTAGGTGGTACAGAATGGCTATACACAAAAAGTCCATAATTACTTTTACATTACATCATACTATTTTGAAAAAAACACAGTGATTTACATTTCTATTGATGATAGGATACAATAATTTCAAATTATAGAAAATTGATACATTTATGTTGTGCATTAGGAAGCATTTCCTAACTTTACAAGCTGTTTCTCAAAGCTACCAGCTTTGTGTAGATGCTATAGGATTTTCTCCATGGAGTCAGACAGGTTGATCCACTGTGTTCTCTTCCAACTCCATGATTCTAAAATAAGTCAGTGAAGTGTAGTGATCAGAGCACTGAACTTGGACTCAAGAGATCTGGGTTCTAGTCCTTTCTCAGCCACTAGCTGCTTTTGGGCCAAGCACAGACTTCGAGGCTAACCTACCTCACAGGGTTGCTGTTGTCAGGATAAAATGGAGAGGAGACATTTTTAAGCCAGCTCGTTTTCTTGGAAAACAAAGCAAGGTAAAAATGTAGCACAATAAGGATAAATAATAAATTAGGGAATATAAATTAATCCCTAATAATCAGATTAGGGATTAGATAAACAGATTCACTGTAAACAAACATATTTAGAAATATCCTAAAGGCTCATGGCACAAGGAAGCTAGGAATGGACTTATGCCATTTTCATGTAATAAAATACTGTATAAGTTTGAAAAGAAGCATTTTTAGGTATTATATAAATCTCTCATCAATCTGCTGCTGTTCTTCCTCCTTCATTTCTCCCACTAAAGGCACACTTGTCCTTTTCTCTGCCATCTTGGCTTGCACAAGATAGTAATAGCTCACCCACTAAAAAAAAAGCTACAACACTTTCTTTTCCTCCTTATTTGTGTTACTACATTAGAATATAATCATTGGAAAGAGGGAACTCATGCTACACTATACACAGTGTAACAACAAAAAACTCATGTACACTATACATGGTGACCTAATGACAAAAGGTACAGATGTTACCAGGCTGTATTTGAGTGCAAGGCCACTTTTAATTGTCAGAGAATTTTTAACCAGTGCAACCTGAATGCCAAGCAGATAAATCAGCTAAACCTGACTTTTTTCCTTCCCTATGTGGAGATAATGACTTTTTAACATGTCTACTTTGAAGTGAATTACATCTGCGTATAACCAACCACAAGCATGCATCTCTCTAGGCTCATCCACCAACCAAGCTATAACTCTGCAAGTGAATAATGTAAGGGATCACTCTAAGTCTTCTTCCTTTGGAAAAAGAAAAGAGGAATAAAATGAGATCCAGCAAGATCAGAAGCATGCAATCTTTAGGAAAACTCTGTAAGACACTAGCGAGTAATTACACACAGGGGAGACTGATCATCCTGATTTCAGCAATAGCCTTGACTTGCACCATCGATGCAGTATTCATGTTGGCATTTGTTTTTACCAATATAATAGTGTCCATACCCTGGCTAAATTCATGCTTCATTAATCAGAGCAACCTTTTATGTCTTCCAGGTCTTGTGTGAAAATCAGAAGCTATCAGCAAGCAAGTCTTGATTTTGGAAGCTGAAAAGTCAAAGCTGTCGCTTATTTCCCCCTTCATAGTTTGCATTATATATATTTAACGTGGTAAATCAAGTA